AGACTGCTTGTCAACTAATGTGGAAAATATGAATGAAAACCGTAAATCCAAACAATTAAAACGTGTTCAAAAACACAGAGAGAATAAAAGAATAAAGAAAATAGTTAGTGACAGAGTAAATTTAGTTTTAAAGGATTTTTTAGGATGTAATTTAAATAATGGTAAGTTGAATTAATTTATTATTGCTTTAAGCCTGAATAATTATTCATAAAGGTAGAGCTACGGCCGAGGCAGGTTCCAGTTTGGATAAGAATAGAACCCCGAATAGAACTGATCTTGAGAATGAAATGCCAGATGGTTTTTTGCCCTTGTGCATTATTGTACATTATTACCAACTCAAATCCATTTTTTTGCTCAAGTTCAAACTGCTTTTGAGAAAAAAATTATAAAACTTTATTTGCAATGTTGACTTTTTTTAACCACAGTTGGACCTAAAGCAAAACAGTATTGGATTTGAGTTATATAAACTGCGCACCAGTCAATGTGTCGCGACCAAAAATTTCGTCCTTTTTCAAAATGACATAACTTTTTTGTTTCTTGAACGATTTTATTTTGGTTTGTGATGTATGCTAGCCCAATTCATGCTATAGACATGAAGCTCACGGTTTTTCAAGTAAATTTACTACAGGGTGGCATGTAAAACAGTGAAAAATTTGAATAACCTCATCCAAGCTCCGTTTGTAAAATAAATATTTTTTTCTCGTTTTTACTTTGAAATAATTAAGTATTATGTCTTACCTTGAAACGTTTTTCAAATTTTTCGAATTGGAATCTTAGCAACAAAAATATTTTTTTTTCAATTGAGTACATTTGATGCTTTTTTGTAGGCAATACACTCAGCCTTTTTAAGAACAAAAAGATAAGATGGTGAAAGATTGTTCCTTGAATAATTCTGAACAAGCGACAAGCAACAAACTTCTATTATTTTCAGAGGAACCTAAGCAAAGACCACTTTTTCCAAATGACATTTTGGAGAAAATTTGCTAAAACTAAACCTGAACCGATATTTACGTTCGTGACATGTTTGCTTTATAATTTTGACCTCCTAATGTGATTCAGTTGTCAAATTTAAGTTTTAGATAAAACCAAAATCACCAAGAATCAAAATTCGAAAACAATTCCCGGTTGTTAAATGTCTCAATAACATGCCTTTGCCAATGCCATTTGAGGATTCATTTTTTGGGAGAAGTTACTGCAATTTGTTTGAGTGGTTAGGATAATGTTACATAAATTACATTTATATTGCGCACTAGTGATAACTTAAGTTATAATATTATTACTGATATGTTCCTATAGGTATACCTAATTGGTAATAAAGTTAAAAACAAAATTTGTTTGTTCATTTTTGAAAATTTTATGCGAAGATATAATCATAATAAAAACTACAACATTCAACAGAAAAATGTAACAAACAATAACAATAATAACTTTCAATATTTCGTTGGCCCTCCCCTAACCCGTAATAATTTGTTAACCCTCCTGGGCATTCCCTAGACCAAGTTCCTTACAAATTCGTGGGGTTTACCAATTCATCCAATCTTTCCATGCGCCTTTCCTCTTTTTTATCTTCAGTTTTATCCTGCTCCACACATGCTCAATAGGATTCATATCAGGAGACAAAGGTGGCCAATTTATTCTCTCAATATCATGGTCCCTTAAATACTCATTTACGATATTAGCGCGATGCGGACGGGCATTGTCGTCCACCAACACCAAATTATTGGCATTTAATTTTCATCATTTGATCCTTGATTTGATCATTCAGTGACATGATAATAATGTACTAAAGATGCAAAACACAGTAAAAAACAGTACAATCCAACAATCAGATTTTATTGAGACATTTAACAGCCAGGAATTGTTTTCGAATTTTGATTCTTGGTGATTTTGGATTTATCTGAAACCTAAATTTGACAACTGAATAACAATCAGATCAAAATTATGAAGAAAACATGTCACGAACGTAAATATCGGTTCAGGTTTAGTTTTCGAAAATTTTCACCAAAATGTAATTTTGAATAAGTGGCCTTTGCTTAGGTTCCTCTGAAAATAATAGAAGTTTGTTGCTTGTCCCAAGCAGCATTTTAAGTTTAAATAACTACAAATTTACTACTAAGTCAACTTTAAAGTATTTTTTACGGTTAACCAAAACGGTTTTATAACGGTATAGATACGAAAAATTACCAAATTTGGGGAATGGTTTATTTCGTTATTTTACCCACATAATAACCTTTTTGATCTACTAAGAGAATTACGTAATAAAAACAATATAAATACCACAAATTTACGTAAAAATAACGCTATAATTACTAACTGTTTGCTTTCTCTTTCTTAAACATTGATATTCGTAATTTCTTTGTTCTTTTAATTTATATTTTACAAAATGGTAGGAACTTAAGTAATTACAAAGTAATAAAGGCCACCCTAGAGTAAAATTATAAAATATAACTTAAATTGTCAAAGGACCATTCCAAGCCCATGGACAGGACACATCAGAAACATGACTAAATATATTCTTGTTACTTCCTTAAGTTTACTTATTTTTTCTACGAGTATTTATGAGAAGTATTAGCCAAATTTGGCTAATACTTCTCATAAATACTCGTAGAAAAAATAAGTAAACTTAAGGAAGTAACAAGAATATATTTAGACATGTTTCTGATGTGTCCTGTCCATGGGCTTGGAATGGCCGCAAAACCATTGATATTTTGCATTAAAACTCAAACGCACATTTTTTTATTGATAAAAATAGGAACGATACGTCTTAAAAATTATATGCCCTCTAAATATTTTACGGTTTTAAGAAAAATTATTGCTTGGGTAAAAATTCAACAAAACTTAAAACCTACAAAATTTTATAAAATCTTTTAAAAATCATTTAGTTTTAATCATTTTTTAATAACTAAAACTTTTCTTATTATATTTTAGAAAGATATTCATGAAAAAATATTATATAAATGTTTGGATAAGTAATGGATGCCATCTTAAAAAACTCATTATGGCGGCCTAAAAAAAAATTCCCGAAAAGTTTTATTTTTCACTTTAAGCTTATTTTTCCCTGTTTAGTTAATATTATTAGTATTTATTACCCACTAATAACCCTAAAAATATCAGGCGAATAGAAATTATTTACGGTTATAAAGGTGTCTTAATATATATTTATATACGTAATTTTTACGAAAGAAAATTACTTATAAGTGTATTTCACCTAAAGGAAAATCTAACGGTAATTTTAACGTAAGAATTTTTACTTAATGGTAAATTTTACTCATAAGTCATAATTTTACGATATCGTAAAATTATGACTTATGAGTAAAATTTACCATTAAGTAAAAATTCTTACGTTAAAATTACCGTTAGATTTTCCTTTAGGTGAAATACACTTATAAGTAATTTTCTTTCGTAAAAATTACGTCCCTCATAATACTTTAAAGTGTTGAAACTTAAGGGTTACCTATTAAAATAGGTAAAAATAACATAAATAAAACTTATATTATAACTTTAAAAAAAGTTTTACTTCAAAGTAAATTTTTAAGGTTAATTTAACAAAATATTTACTTAAATTAAGTAATATTGCCTCAAAGCTCTACGCTTTTACTTAAAATGCTGCTTGGGGTCGCTTGTTCAGAATTATTCAAGGAACAATCATTTACCATCTTATTTGAAAAACGTTTCAAGGTAAGACATAATACTTTATTAATTCAAAGTAAAAACGAGAAAAAAATATTTATTTTACAAACGGGGCTTGGATGAAGTTATTCAAATTTTTCACTGTTTTACATACCACCATGTAGTAAATTTACTTGAAAAAACGTGAGCTTCATGTCTATAGCATGAATTGCCAGAGAATGGGGCTAGCAGACAACAGAAACCAAAATAAAATCGTTCAAGAAACAAAAAAGTTATGTCGTTTTGAAAAAGGACGAAATTTTTGGTCGCGACACATTGAGTGGTGCGCAGTTTATATGCATGTTTTAATTTGCGATTTAATTAGGATTTTTATTTATTTTATAATTTGCTGTGATTTATATAAGAAAATTTCATTTATTTTGTTTGAATAAATCAATATTTTTAAATTTTTTTTATTATATTTAATTCATAATTTTTATGATGTATTTTTTGTTATTTTTTATGTATTTTTATATATAGTAATAGCTTTGTTTACAGATCACTTATATTAACTGCAGTTCAAAAAAAAATTCTGAAGTGCATGCAATTAAGAACTTTTTTGAATTTGTTTAAAATTTCAAACCAGTTTGGAACAAATTCATAAGTGTTCCTAACTTCAGTTCAAAATGTTTTGATTTTTTTTAAACTGCAGGTTTAAAAGTAATCTGCAAACAATGCTTTTACTATATAAAAATATATAAAAAATATCATAAATGCATCATAAAAATACATCAATATAACACTATTGTGATATGTTATTAACATAAAATTAGTATCATTATGACACTATTATGATATATTATTATTATCACATTGATATCATTATGACATTATTGTGATATATTATTAACATTACATTAATATTATTATGATATATTATTAACATCACATTGCAATGATATTATTATGACATTATAACCGTACAAAAGCGTTACATTTTGACATCACTATGATGTCATACAAACATAAAAATGATAATCAATTTGAAATCAAATATTACTTAAATGATATTATATTGATGTTATTTTGACAAAAATTTTCACTAGTAGCTACTACTAGTAGATATATCTATCTATAGTAGTACTATCATAGTACACAAGGCTTTAAAAATAGTACAAATACCATCGTTATAGTACACTAGAATTAAATAAAATCATCAAAATCAGATGAGTGGTTCGCGAGAAAATCAACATTTTGGACAATTTTTGGTGGCCGGTTTTTTTTTACCGTGAGTATTTAGAAACATTTTAACACCTAATGTAGGCAACCCCGAAAACTTAATGGGAACATAGGCAACCAAAGAATATTTACACAAATGTTTTAAGGTTATATTTTTTAAAATTGTAACGGTTGTCGTTTTAAATTTTTTAGCAAAGTCGTGCAGTTCTGTGATATTTTAAATGAAAAACTAAATAAAAAGTAACTTGTCAATAATAACATATTAGTGTTTATTGTATAGAAAACTGTGTTGCTCAAAATGGATAGGAAAACTAAGGACAAAAAAGAGGCTGAAATAGTTAACATCCGTAGATTTGAGAATCTTCGTGAAATTAGCGAATTAAAGGCTTCATTGCAAAGTTTAATAAATGAGGCCATGCAACAGACTGAAAAAAATGAGAAAAGAAAGGCTCTACAAGAGAATAAAGACTTGGATAATAAAAACAACATTCAGCAAAGCTTGAAACCTATAACTTTAAGAAGAAATTTAAGTGTTGAATTAGCAGTTACACAAAGAGATAGATCAAGATCCAGGGAAACAAATAATCAAGTTGAAACTACCAAACAAGAATCTTCAAAAAAAAAAAAAAATTACAATGTCGAGGAAGCTAGAGAATATATTAAAAAACAAAAAGAAAAACGTTTGGAAGATATCAAGAAAGCTACTACAAATCCAGCCTTGAAAATAGATATTAAAAAACAAAAATTACAGGAGCTTCACGAGAAGTCTCTACTATTGGTAAATAAAAATGTTGAGGCAAAACGAGCAAGATCAAAATCCAGAGACAACCAACCTGGAACTGAGTACTTAAGACCTGATAATACCTCAGCAAAAGGAGTAAGAGACAGATCAAAATCAAGAGATAATTGTAAGTCTGGTAATATAGTTACTAAAGGAACAACTTTAAATGAAAAATTGCAACTTTTTGATCCTGTCAACTCTAGAGCTAAGTCCACAGAAACAAACCTTGGAAAAAGGGAGTCAAGGACAACTGTAAGAAGGTCTAAAAATCCATTGCTGCCAGCTGCTTCTAAAGAAAACAATTTAAAAGTGCCCAGTATTAAGGTAGTAGATAGTCTTGAATGTCCTAAGATAAATATAATTTCAAATGTAACACTTAGATCTCCTGATAACGCTCAGAATAGTAGAATAGATGCTAACATAACTAAAAGATCTCCTAGAAATATTGCTGATTGTAGCAATAATAGTAACCACATTTTAAGTGAAAAAAATCGATTACTTAAGGAAAATCTATCAACTCGGTTGGAAACCCAATACGAAAAATCAATTTTTGTGAATAATATACAGGAATACTTTAAATCAAAATCTGAGGTTGCTGTGGGTACAGATTTGTTTCCCATGGAAACTAAAGAAACCCAAACCTTGGAGGATATAGTTGCATGCCCAGATTGGTTGCAGGGAAGTGAATCAAAGGAGTATCCTTACAATTTTATTAACACAGTTAAAAGAAAATTGCATTATGCACTTAATCCCCCAATTACCACACATTACAATGATGTAGGCATACAAAGTTCCTTTAAGTGTGATTTAAAAGAAAAAGAAGTTGTTAATCAAAAAGATCATGTACATAATAAACCCTCACACTCTGATTTGAAATCGTTTATATCACACAAATGCATAAATTTGGACTCAAAACCTGTAGAGCATTTGGGTTTGCAACTTGGCAATAAAAATAGATTTATACACAGTAAAACCACCACAATTACAACTGACAGTGAGTCAGATACTTCTAAAAACATTCCAGATATATCCAGTGAAAGCGGAACTTCGTTGAGAAAAAACGCCGAATCGGTAAAACTCACAAACAATATTAGCGAAAATTTACAAAGCCTAAAATTACCTAAGGCAAACTTGGAAATGATGAAATCCGATATCAGCAAAAAAACGCCAACAAGAAGTGTTATACAACCTTCAGGACGATCAAGGGCTAGCAAAACTTTATTTGGCAGCAAAAACTCATACACTTCTGACTATAATACAGAGAGTGAAACTGAAGACAGCGTCCAAGAGGTTATTTTAAAATCCAGTAGATCTCCAAGGGATTCCATAATATCTGGAAATATCTGCTCATACAGTAAACTGGATTCAAAACTAAGCAACTATTCAAATGAAAAACATACCATTCCAGAAGATGTAACTTCTACTAAAAGTGAATCTTCAAAACATTCCCGTCATTCTCAACATTCCCAATCTTCTAACAACATTCCAACATTGCCTGATCATCAATTTAAGTCGCTCCCTACTCGTTCCTTCAGCTCTTCCAATATTATTTGTACTTCTATTGAGAAGCAGGCATCTTGTGATATTCCAGAAAAGCCAGAAAATCCAGAATACAGTTTGCTTAAAGAGCCTCAAGTCTCATTGAAAATAGGCAAGCACAGTATAAGTACTGATAAAATTATAAAAGCTGATGTAGGAAACTTGGTAAGTATTTTTTTAATAATAAAGATAAAAAATAGTGTTTAGTTTTTTTTTCAGAATAACACAAACCAAATTCATCTTAAATTTGAAGCTGAAATTCATTTACTCAACGATTTTAACAAATCTGTTAATCAATTGTCAGCCTTGGAAAGAGCATTTGAAAGTTTAAAATCGAAAAACGACCCACAAAGCGTAGAAAACGATTCAATTTCTTTGATAAAAACAAATGAACAACCACCAATCTTTAAAATACCGAAATCAAAAACTCCAAAAATCAAAAACAACATTTCTCAAATTAATTTTTCCAGAGGTTCTGATGTTTCCTCAGGTGATACTCAAATAGACACTACTATATCAAAAGATATGGAAAACAGTATATTTTCGGGACTCGAAATGAATAAATATAGCAGTATTAATGAAACAGCCACTGAATCTCCCATAGAAATGTCAGTAATTGAAAATTTTGATATTATGAATCCATTTGGAATGTCACTTAAATTGGTAAGTTATTGCATGGATTATTTATATACATTTAAGCAGTCCCACAAACATTTTTAATTACAAAAATGCACCTTCTTTTTCATTAAAAATGTTTGTGGGACATCATATTTCTTCAGGTAAACTTAAATTTTCTTTCAAATCTCCGAATGCCGAAAAAAATATTATTAATTAGCAAAGACCGGATTTTAGACCGTTAAAAATTGAAAATTAGGACACATAAATAGGCAATAACAACCTACATATTAGGCCGATTTAGGCCGAAAGTGCCTAAGATAGGCCTCAACCGCCTAAAATAGGCTATATGAAATAAAAACAACACGATTGAACATAACATTTATTCAGGTACTATCAATAAAAAAATACAGGTCTCTTAATATAAAATAATAATAAAAATAATAACACAAACTCTAGAAAACAATGGACCATATGAATAAAGAAAAGGAAAACCTTATACTTGTAAAATTTAAAGAAAATCTTTCGCCAATATGAATAAACTTAAAAGTAAAATGTCTTACTTAAAATGATAAGTAAATTCATTTTCTATTACATTACTATTAATAAAAACCTATTTTTTACTGTGTATGTATATGTACTATAGTACAGATTGTATAGCACAATTATATTGTTAATACAACAATTTTTTTTTGTTAATTTGCAAAATTAAGTGGTTAAATCAACAAATTCAATTAACAAATTTATAATAGTACATACATTTTGCTAAAACAACAATTTAAATTAATAATTTATCTTTTTATCAAAGTATTTTGTAAATTTAAAATATTTAATTGAATTGTATATTAATAAATGTAATTTAACAACTTTGAAATGCAAAATATTTTACTATAGCATACTATAACAACAGAAAAGTGGAGCTCTTGGAATAAACTTTTTTGTACTGTGTAACTATGTTAAAACCTTACCATCTTGGAACAGCTTTTGCAAAATATTTGGGTTTCATCGCACTGATTTGGCTGAAATATTTTATTTTTGTCCAGCTCCTGCAACCACCCTAAAACCTTTATCCCTGTTTTGGCCTTTGGCATTTCGTAGGATTACTAAAATAAATTGTTGGCAATAATAATAGTTTTTGTAAATGAAATACCTCTTATTTAAATAAATCTCTATAAACTTACCAGAAACAAGCAGGCCGACGCTGAACAAAAATATAAACAAATACAAACAAAAGGATACGTTGATTGAATCAACTTGGTTCCAACGGTTGTCAAAGTTTGCTTTAACCATCTATTGTCTTTACAGAAAAACCATTTACCACCTGTAAATTTTTAAGAGTTATTTATTTATGCCATAGATGGCGACAAATTATTTTACTTTTAACTGTTACAGTAAAACGTATGAAAACAAAGTAAATAATAAATTTTAACCATTATTTTAGAAACTTATTATTATCCATAATTATTTATAATAAATATTTATATTATTTAATAAAAACACAATTACTTTTTTCATTAGGTTTTCACTAGTTTTGTAATTTGTGGTCCTCGTACTCGCAAAGGGCGTCTAGTTGAAATAAGAGCAATAAATTAAAAATAATTTACTTTTTCGCAATGAAAAATATTTTTTTCTACTCCCACCTTTAAAACGCCCTTTATCGTACATGTTTCCATGACAATAAGTGACCTTTTAAATACACATTGACAAGTTGTAACTTTACGGCGCTTTAGTCACGTGCTGAAGTTAGCAACAGATTTTTAGTCACGGGCTAAAGTTAGTTTTAAGTTAGTTGACAGTTGTCAAATGTCATACAATCGTTAAAATAAAGTGCCTTTCTTGTAAAATAATACTAAATGTGAAAATTATTTTATTATCTCAATACAAAAATACAAAAATATTAAATAGTTTCTCAACGCCAATATTTGAAAAGTTTATATGAACATTGTACTGATCTTTTAATTTCGCCGGCAGTAAACTATAACTTAAATTCGGGCACGGACTCTACTCCTCATAAAACATTTCCTTTACTTTCACTGTAAAAAACTGTTAATTTTCAAGATACATTTCGATTTATAACCTTTATAATTGTGTTTATAAAATGTAAAAATGTGACATTTGACAGTTTCCCCTGTTGTTTCATAGATGGCGCTCTATACAAATTTTTGATTTAAATTATTTTAAGATAATAATAAGTATTTGTCGTAGAAAATGTATAGTATGCACCTCGTTTATAAACTTTTCTATACACTCATTAACTTAAATTAAATTCGTGTATAAAATGATACATTTTTATGAGCCTATTTTAGGCTCATAAAAATGTTCTTTTAGGACAATAAATCAAAATTTCGCCATTTTAGGCTTTTAGGCAAAAATAAAGGGGTGTCAAACGCTTTATTTTTTTAAGTTTAGGATTAATTTTAAGGTCCCAAACAAATGCCTAAAATAGAAACAAAAGGGCATTTTGCCTTAAATCCGGTCCTTGTTAATTAGCTATTTAAATATTAAATATGACCAGGCACGGATACAGGATTTCGTTTAGGGGGGTCAATTTTTGTGTGATTTGCCTATCTTCCAGAAAATTCTTTCCAAACCAATTTTTTTTTATTATATTTTAGTTTGTATCCATCCTTTTATATGGATAATGCTCTGTTGGTGTAAAAAAAAAGAAATAAAAACACATATACGGGCCCTGCCCCATATTAGTTGGCCCAGTGAATTCAATGGTGTGTCAGTTATTCCAGTTTTTTCCCAGTTTTTCGTTTTTGGGCGAAGGAGTTGATTGTTTTGTATAAACGTATGATATTTGTAATGGTATACTGAGATACATTTTTTTCTTAATCTTATGATAGATTTTGAAATTGCAAAACTCAAAATTTAAACAAAATATATACCATTTACGTTTTTTATATAAAAATTTCAAATTTAACTGTCAATTTCATTTGTTAATATGGTAAGTATCTCTTAAGTTAAATTGCTAAATCTGCTTTGTATAGTATAAGTTTGTATAAATCATGGTATGTTCATTTCTAGTAGCAACAGCAAATTATTGTTTTGTTGAAGAAAATTGTAAACTGACTGTAATTAATAAATATTGTTATAGTTAAATTCTTTATTGCGTTTTGATTAGAAAATACATGTACAAAATTTTCTAGTGACGGCCAAATAATATAGGACGGGGCTCGTAGATATAAAGAACGAAAAAACAAACAAAAATTTTGAAATTGGTTAAAATAAAGTGCTTTGGCTGTAAATCAGGGGGAGCAATTGCACCCATTCCCCTCCCCCACCTGTATCCGCGCCTGAATGTGACTTAAGTAGTTGATGTTGCTGCGTCAAGATACATACACCTTAAGATAGGATGGTGCGCATGTTGGGCGGGGCTTAATGACGTCACTTGATGAGTGTTTTTAAATCTTTAACGTGCTTTTTAATTATCTACTGCTAAAATTCTTGTTTTTGCGATGCTTTTGGATGTTAACTTGCTCTACTTTTTGTTTAACTTGTCGTTTTTGTGTTCGGTAAGGTTCGAATTACTTTTCAGCGTTCAAATTATTGTTATTGCGTTAGGTTAACCTGTTAGGTTTGTTTATTATTGTTTTTGTGTTGCGTTAACTTGTTTTGTTTGTGTTTTAGATTATATAGTGCCATATGCATTTATTAAAATGCGGTGTGACATATTTGGATGCAATTCGGACAACCAGTCCAAGAAAAACCCTTTAAATAAAAACATTAAATTTAATCGATTCCCGAAAAACTTTGATTTGTGGAAACAGTGTTTAAATACCACAAAAATAATAGACAATATTTACGTTAAGACCGCTTCTGTTTCCTATAAACATTTTCTGGACAGTGACTATAAGTTTAATTTAAAACACCAACGCTTAAACTACAGCCCTAAATGTTATCAAGGACTGAAAGCATTTATTATCCATATTATAACACGTTCTTCAATATTAAGTTTAATAAAAACGCACTATGTCCAGAAATTTCTCTATTTTATTTGATAATATTACTATTATTCGTGTATTCGCACGGCAACTACTCATCAAGTGACGTCATGCGCGGGACGAACCAAAACTCGTACACGGGAGCATCCAGCCCTGTTGCTGCGTTAACGGCAGTGCAATGTTTGAAATCAAAAACGACAAAAATAAATACAATATAATATTTTAATTATGTTTTCTCTTTAGTTCGAGCAACTTATCAAAGAAGAAGATGCCAGACTGAATAATCTAAAAACCATGTTAAAAATAAGGGAAAAATCATTAAGGGACAGATTAATAACTGAATTGTCGGCCCTGGAAGTACAAAGAAGGTATTATATTAATTTGATTTTTACCTACTTCGAAAAACCCGATGATACTTTTTAAATTAATGGGGTTAAACACATATTTTTAATGTAGGCTATGTTTGTTTTTGTTTTAGAACATTGTATCAAACGGGAAGGGCTGAAGAAGCATCTGTAATAAAGAAGAAGCAGCGGGGAATTTTAATTAAACACGAAGAAGAGCGGCATGAAATGCAAAGGTACGTATGTCACCTTAAGAGGGTCATCTAGTGTAATGGCAATCGCTTCCATAACATATCTCAGAATGGTGTAAAATATTGTTTAGATATTCGAAATCATTGAAAAAACAAAGATCCAGAACGGAGTAAGTAATTCTCCTTATTAATATTTTTCATAAATTTTACCGCAATCAAATAAGACCTAAAAGCAAAAGCTCAATTGCGCATGGGCATGTCCGCGCCACTTAATGATTTCTTTTTCACGACGCAAAGTAATCTGAGAAAAATCTTAACTAAGGGATGCTGTATGGTTTAACAAGGTTTTATTATTTTTTACTTTGTTTTGTTGTATTTATGTTATAATCCAGTCAAATTGCTGTGTATAAGCATTTTAAAGTTAAGACTAAATTAATTTTCTTATGAAATCCATGAGTTTCCAGAAGGTAATGGCAAATTAGATGTTTCAAAAGTAAAAGAAACGAACTGTTTTCTAAGGATCTGATTTGTCCTGACAATTTATTATTATTGTTGGAAGAAAGCTATAATTTATAAAATATTAACAATTTTCAATCAAGAATGTTATATCCAAGAGCAGAATGGTCACATCCTATGGATTTTGGATAGCTGAGCCCAAATCCGTGATCGGATCAGGTTTTTTTCTAACCTCAAATACATGGTTTATTCGGCTATTTTTGCATTGTAAAATATGTGGGTAAAAACGCGTTTTTTAATCTCGACCATTATCCTCATCATCACCATGTCAACCCGTCTTCATCAAATAAAACTTCTATTCATAATTTGACGCAAATTCAAAATTGTTTTATGATTTATATAAACAATATTTTTATTTAATATACAAATTTAATTACGTTGCCTTTAACTTTATATTATATTATAGATATATGCACAGAACAAAACTCTAATTGACGTTACCACGTTTCAGTTGATTCATGGTAGGTATCATGATATGAATGAACTGAAATTGTGTTGTTCTTTTTTATGCTTACTAATATTACTACATCTCAGATCACTTTAACTGAAGTTAGTTAAGATCTTAAAAAGAACGCACCTAATATGTAATTAAATAATAATAATAATTTTGGGCTCTGCGGACTTAAGAAACCATTTTTATCTATTTTTTCCGCTGAATCCGAATTTAAGGTCTAGATCGAAAAAATTATATATTTTAACCGACCATTTTAAGCGACACAAAATCCATAAAATTTGAAAACTTTTATTTGCGACAAATAAGTCCAATGCTAAACAGTGGCGGCTCATGATCTATGTTAAAGGAGGTTTACAAATTTAAAAAAGCGGCAGGGAATTTGTCTGTGGCTTGCCCGACTATTATTACTTTTTAAAGCTTTCAAAACAATAAAAAACATCATATTAAACATTGAAATGTGTATGCATTAAAGAAAGAACATAATACTAATTTATATTTCCATTCCATTCTTCTGTCCTTATTTGCAGCAAATTTATCGATAACCGCCTTATTACTCAGTACTCCACCTCCCTGTTTATTTACGTACATTGATAATAACGTTATTTTGAAATTGGTCAGGTTTATTTGAAACCCCTGATTTAATTTAATCAAAGACAAAGGGGTCTTTTAAGTCAGAGCACAGGGAAAGGGGACCATAAAAACCCTGGCAACCTACACATTTCAAATAAAAATACAATACAAAACAAAGGGATATGGGTCATAATCACAAGAATACTATATAAATCATAAGTAAATAAAATAACATGGAAAGCAGATAAACACATTTCATATAATTTGGTGTTTTTATTAATATTCAAAACATTTTATACTCAGGTAAAGTAGTTATGAGAGATGGTAATTTTATGACGAAGCGTAACAACTGTTGTACTATTTGTTTACCTTACCACGCATCTTCGAACTATTAAGCAACGACAGTTCTGATAGAGATAATTCAAATGCTTTTAAAAGGGCGGGAAAAAAGGAAAAATATAATCTAGTGCAGATATTTAACCGCAGCCAATAACCACACTATGGAACAATTGTATACTCTGTGAAGTGACCCCTATGGTGGTCATTTCTTACTAAAGTGTCGCTATATCACAATATGTTCAAATCTTTTCACAAAATCAATGTCCAGAACAAGACAACCGTATTGCAAAAATATACAAACAATTCTGCACAGAACGTTTATATAGGTAATCAAAACACTAGTTTTCTCCTAAAGATGAATTCTTTTGAAATAATGCAAATACAGATACAAATAAACTTAAAAAAATGCAATAAAATAAAATGGTGTAAAATACAAATAAAATGCAATATAATTGTAAATAGGAGAGGGTCATAACAAGGAACACCAAAACAATGTTTAGTAAACATTGCCAAAAACTCAAACCACCAGAAAGTGTCGCGCTGGATAATAACAATATAAAGAGATACAATCTAAGACAAAAGTCCCAATCTCGGGATCTTAGTAATAAGTTACAAAAAATAAAATATACTTTTTTTTGCGTATGACAATTTTCACCAGCATATATATATATATATATATATATATATATATATATATATATATATATATATATATATATATATAAAAGTTAAATTATTATACACCGCCGTACAATAATGAAAATACATTGAAATTACATGAGTGGTTCCATCTATCGCGTTTAGCATAAAATTAGCAAAGGAGTATCTCGTATGACCATCAAGACCTTTCTGCCCTTCCCTAATTCCATTTTTAAAATTTTTGCCGCAAAACGACATTTTTTGACCACCGTTCGCTGTTGGGAACGGTGCGATAATAATTATTAAGGGGGTTCGGAAACTTTACGAAAAATAATATAAATTATAAATTAATACGTGCTTATGTGCTTCTATTGAGAAACCAACAGACTAAGAAAACCTTTGAAGGGTTTGGTAATATTAGCTCGCAATTTTGTATGGCCTCTTGAAGTTCTTTGTGGCCAATATTTGACTGTGTGCGACTTGAAGTAAATTAAATAATTTAATTAGTTCCTTCCTTGGAATCATAAAAACTAAAATTTTAAATTTATTTTGTTTTTTTATTATTAATTAATTATCCAAATCCAAACATCCCTAGTAGCAATTTGGGAAAAGCCTTGTCCAAGCATGGGTCAAGATACTTGGAACAGATTGTTGATCAAGAATTGTACAAGAATTGGTCCAGATTCTTGATCAAGATCATTGGGCAAGACTTGGGCCAGACTGTGGCCAGAATTTGTCAAGAATTTGACCAGAAGTCTGAGGCCATCTGTTACTAAACTTAGGGACTATTCTATAGAGTAGAGGTTTTCATTTTACAGTAGTTTCATTCACAATTCACAATTGTCGTCTTTTCAGTTTCTCGCGTAAGTCTATCTCAAGACTCTGGGCCAAGAATCTGGTCAAATTCTGGTCAAAGACTGGCCCAAGTCTAGAGCCAGTCTGGATAAAGAATCTTGGTCAAGTGTCTTGATCAAGAATTGTCAAATTGTGTATAAAGTGCTTCTCCAAGTATCTTGCTGGAGAACCTTGTCCCATTCCATTGCTACTAGGGATGTTTACAATTTGAAGATATTATACCAAGTGTTTGTTTTACAATTACCATTTGATTTCTTTGTCACAACTTTTCTTTAATTAAAATTTTTCCAAAACAACAGATATAAAAAGATTGGTTCAAAATGCTTAAAAAAGGTACTCTTGTTCGAAGTCAATAAAATGCATGTTTTTTAGGAAAAATACCTCTTAATATTTTTGGACCACCAAATGGGTATGTAAAGAATAAAATTGGCCAGAAACCTTGATTCTTTGTGGAAATGCTAAGATTTCGATATGCAGGGTGTTGAAAATTACAAAAAATATTCTAAAATTAAAAAAGTTTTTGCCACTTTGTATCTCAGTATACTGAGAGAGCATTATAGGACATTGTTTATATTTTTTAACCCTTATGTAACTGAATGGGTACCCCGGTATCCATTCAGCTTTTAGATATGAATATCTTTTTTGATTAAAATCGAGGATGTTTGCCATTTCGTGACATTTCTAAACTAGATATTTTCTACAGAATATTTTAATTTAAAATATATGTTTACGCTTTTTTTTTAATTAATAATGTTCAAAGTTTTTCTACACACAATTGACGGTTTGGGTTCCTGTGTACCAAAGTAGTTTAAAATGCCAAATAATATATTTTATAGCTAAAATGAAAACGCAAAGTTTATCTACATCTATATATTTGTGAAAAAAAACTAATACAAAATAGCACCCGCACTTAAACAATTGTTTATTCAACGGTGTAAAGAAACAACTAAACTGTCAATACCAGTCCGCAATCAGCTGATTCAGTTGGTATCGATGCGTTTTAGCCGTTCAAATACATAGGTATATCGCACAAGTTAATAGCTTACTTATTCAAATGCGTAGGTATATCGCACAAGATAATAGCTTATAATTTTTTTCACTTATAAATACATATTTTACGTTTAATATCCAAATTAATATAATCTGGGTTCCCAGGTTCCCACCCCGTCATAGGCAGGTGTTTTTTTCCCAGTCACATAAGGGTTAAATATTATAAGGAATTGCGTCCTCAAGTTATGGACCGTACTTAGGAAACATCTTGTATATGTCGGGATTAGGGGTGGATCTAGTATTTTGTGAAGGGTTGGGGTCCACAAAAATGTCTAAACTTTCTTCGGATAATCACTTAATAATAATAATAAATCTCGAATTTTGTTTTTTTCAATCCCGAATAAAGATGTTATGGATTAGCTTTTCTTGTACCTAGTTTGACATATACCAGTTCCCAACGCGAACCTATTCCAGATACCTATTCCGGTTTCTGCCTATTCCGACCCAAAGGCGCGGTTGTAACATTCTCACTGGAGTTGGTTTAGCTGGGTAAACATAATCAGGTGACTCTTGCAACGCCGCAACAGGTTAAAACTAATACGAATACGAAGCAGTATTGAGTATTTACCTACATTTAGTTTCTCTATGCCGAAATCAATGCGGTAATATGTGATATTTGGATACCTACTCTTTTATTTATTGCTTTTTTCTGATAAAAAAATAAAAAGATTTCATCCATATTTCTCTTGTAGTTTATTTATCAGTCTCATCAGTAGCCATAATTTGACAATTAATTAATAATAAACGAAACGTACCGTTTCACTAAGTGAAATAACACGGCAACAGGCAACGACGCCGATCCAAGAAAATATATTTACGTACTGCAGTTCCAATCGGTTTTATTCGCTATTCACCGTCACAGGCATCGTGAATAGAAAAGGACTCGGAATAGGACAGGCCGGAATAGGTTCCGATATTTGGGAATAGGTACGCGGAATAGGCAGGTGATACCTATTCCAAAGTAGCCGGTCCAGTTCCACTGTAACATCCCTAATCCCGAAGAGGGGGGGTCCGAACCCGATACTATACTTAATTCCACTTGTTTAATTTATTAATTCATTTATTTATTTGACTTACAAGTCGCAAACAGTGAAAACATTGGCCATAAATAATGCAAACAAGAGGCCACAAAAATGCGAGCTAATATCACCAAACCCTACGATGGTTTTCTTAGTCTGTTGGATTACTTCCATTTCGCATTGAATTCATTTGGGCTGAAATTTCTTGTTAATTGCAAACAGGTATCTTATTATATTCTAAGAGAACTATTACATTTTATAAACATTCTAGCGATCATCAACGTAATATAAACAATCGCTTATCTTATTCCAATAAAGATTAAAATTAGGTTATCGCAATTACAAAATTCCTTAATACTACACAATACATTTCACTATCAATGAAAAAGTAAATGCATGTTTATTATCGTCCGCTGCATTTAACTGTAATGATTCACTGTCTCAATTGCCTTTAATTAATTAAATGTGCGAGTGCCAATTTAACCCAATGAAAAATGTCTTGCAGACTGAAGCAGTTGCAAAACACGAAATCCAAAGAACGCATCTCCAAGCTGCAAGAGGAAAGGAACCTGATCAAGGCGCAGCTGTCCACGGACAAGGTGCTCTCGAAGATCAAGGTGAACAGCACCCCTAGGGAGAAACGCAAGCACTCGGGCCCCCTGAGGGTTGTCAGCCACTCGGAGTCGGTGGTGTCTGAGATGTCGGTGTCGAGAAGGAGCTCTACTATGGAGGATTTGGTCAGCGTATCTTCAAGGTCGCATTCGGTCACCAGCATAATGTCCGAGATCGAGCATAATATGGTGGACGAAAGGGAGAAGAAAAAGTCCGATTTGCACGTTTCGCAAATTAAAAGGTAAGTCGATTAGAATTGATTATATAAATTATTTTTCAACTTAAACGTGCCTACAAAAAATGCATACAATAATAATTTAAATATTTTGGGTAAATATATACAGGGTGTCCCAGAACTCGCGCCACAGAGAAAAAGGAGGGGGCGTGCCGATAGCAATGGAGATGCCAAATTTAAAAATAAAAAAATTCTAGGTAATAGTGTAATCGAATGAGAGCAAAAAAGCGGCAGCCAATACCGAGAGCTCTCGCCTAGGTTAAACGTAAGAGCTTTAAAAATTGCTAGGAGACGATAGAACATATTAAAACATTTAAAAATCTTTTGGCCAACTGTATTTACTAAGTTGTCAAAAGCTTTCAAAAATGAGGTTATTAATCTATGACTTATACTTCAGAACGCCAATGTTTTAAAATAACGATTAGGAAAGGGCTGGGAAAAAACTCGCGTTGTCTCCCTGGCGTTGCGCCCACACTAAATAAATAAATAATTATCATTTCAGTATAATCATCTAAGGAAAACATTATTTATAATAACTTAATTTATAACCTAATATAATATTAATGACAGGAGTTTGCAGCAGTGTCACAATGAATTGGATTCCAGTGGACCAAATATTTTACATATTTTTTATTATCAACAATGCAACCTAAGTATCCTAGCAATTTAAAGAATTCCCTATGGCCATCTATTGGGATTGGCTATCGTTTTTTATTCTTATCTCGCTTATCCTTTGCGTTGGACAATTTTAATTTTCAAATATGTGTTTCACGTTACTTTCGGCACGTTCCGGTTTTCTATGTGGCGCGAGTTCTGGGACACCCTGTATATAGTAAAGTATTTATCAAAAATATTAAAATGTTTGGAAATATCGGAAAAAAGTATAAAACGAATGTTTAATGATAGGATTTGTAATTCCAATTTTATTTACACATAAATGTTTAATCATTTTACATAATAATCCTTTAAGGGGATGATAGTACACGCCAAAATAAGAAAGTTTTTCCTTTATCATTTTTGCATTGGTTCCATTTTTTTACAAAAAAAAATCATTAAATTTTTTATAGGTAAAGTAAAAATTTTGGGCCGCCACTGGTTCTTCCTAATCTACATTCATTAAAAATTTACATTTGTGTTATCATTGATTACTTTGTTGATAATTGTTTTTTGTTTTGCATACTATTTGTAGTTTGAATTAAACAATACTTACTTTTTATTGTTAGGTACCTATCTCGAGTTTTTCGTGGTTTTCCCGTCAATATTAAATTTCAATTTTTACGTCGATTGATGCTTTTGTAGCTATTTTTTTAATCATATTAACTGAACTGTCAGTAATCAATGATAATAAAGTACCTACTAACTGATTTTAAATAAGTTTAAAAGTTTGCTGGATATTACATAAATCTAAGTTTTTAATGAATGTTGCCCACCTGATTCTTTTTTGCTTGGATAAATAATATCATTGTTTTTAGAGACAAAAACAATGATGATATCTATCTATCTAGTGACATCCAGTGGCTCCCTGATTTTGACAAAAAATTTCATATTTTTTTATTAAAAAACAGTAGCTCTAATACAAAAAAACATGTCTTGTTTTGGCGTTTACTATCATCCCCCCAAAGAATGACAATTTATTAGGTGACACCCTGTATACAAATTCTATTAAAAGAGAATTAAATATTTTTTTAATTTCCATCACAATATTTATTTTGAGTAAAAACATACTGTTACTGTATTTAGTTTGTTTATTTTAGCTTACAGAATTTTAGTTACTATAGTAATTTTAAAACCACCAATACTAAATAACTAACACTAAATGCGCTAACACTACACCAAATAGGGGATTTATTTTAATTATAAAAATTACACCAGATTATCTGATCAGTAGTTTACGAGTTATTAAGCATTATAAGTTTAAAAACCTTGACAACGCCGTATGGAGACATGGTTCATCCAAAAAAATTGCTATAGACAGTAGTTCAAATAAGGCAACAGTGGTTAAAATGGTTGACAGGTGTAATTTCTGATAATTTGTGTCAAAACTTTTAAAACTATCATAACATTAACAAATTTTAATTTTTTATTTTTAAACGTGATCAATTTATACATATAAATAAATAAAAATCGTTTTAAAAACCCTACTTAAAAAGTACTACAGTGGGTGGCCATATAAAAATAAAAAACAATCAAAACACGAAAAGTTTTCGGCGGGTTTAGGGTCTAAGTACCGTCCCAAAGCAACTTTACCTCAAATTTTGTGGAAAAATCTTCACCCTTTGGAAAAGTAAGCAAAAATATAAAAAATGGACTTGGACCTTTTCGGCACCCAAAAAATTTAGTCCAGAGATCTGTCACAAGAAAATAAATAAAAATGTCAATTTTCCAGCTATATCGCTTATCGATTACAAACAACAAAAACAAAAAGTTGTTTAGAATTCGATTATGGATAGACTCACAATCGGATTCTGAACCACTTTTTTTTGTTAGTCTGTGAGTCTTTCCGTCAACTTTTTCGAACCCCAGTAACTCCACAACCCACACAACAAGATCTGTTCGATCTCGTACTAAAAATACTAAAAATCACTGCAACACTGCACATCATTCAATGGCGTTGTTTACAATTCTTGTGCTTTGGGTTTGTACAGATTCATAATCGTTTTAAACGTTGTGTTTCTTACAGAGAGACTTGCAAGCTTTAAAAGAGACCTCAAAGTGGTAATAACAATCATTTTACTCCTCTTTTGTAAAAAATAAACCTTATTCTATCAGGGCTGTAAAATGTCAATTTGAAGGTTAATTTGTGGGTTATAAAGGGTGTCCCATTAAGACCGCCTATTTTAAATTTAGTGTCATTTTTTTTGTGTCAATCGTACAGCGTTGTTGTTGGACAGTGGAAAAATTCACTATCGAAATGATGAGAATGTTTCGGAAACGGATTGAAGATATCGTGGATTTTTCGGTCACCATAACGCACCTTCTCGCCCTACTGTGGTCCGATTAATCGAGCAATTTGAAACGATTGGGTCAATTCAAACCAAAAAGAGACATGTCCGTGTTTGTGCAGCTCGGTCTGCTGAAAATATTGCAGTAGTTAGTGAAAGTGTTGAACAAAATTCTTCCACCTCGTTTCGCCACCGTTCCCAGCAATTGAGACTCTTTCGAAGCAGTTTACAGCGAATTTTGGCCAAAGACCTGCATTTTCATGCGTACAAAATTCGGTTGACACAATATTTAAAGACAGCAGACCATGCACAGCAACGAAACCATGAAATTATTGAGGACAAAATTTGAAGGCACAGTTATTTCGCGCCGCGAGGATGTGATGTGGCCAGGTGATCATGCGATTTGACGCCGTTAGATTTCTTTCTTTGGGGGTTTTTGAAGAAAAAGGTTTATGCTAATAACCCAAGAACAGTTCCTAAACTAAAACATGAGATTCGACGGGTCATTGATGAAATTGAGCCGGCACTATGCCAAAATGTAATCGAAAATTTTGTCAAAAGAATCAACGGGTGCCGTCAGTCACGAGGAGACCATTTATCGGATATTGTGTTCCATATTTAACCTCCATGTCTTCCCTCTTTATTGCAATAAAAATATCTTAACTTTTTAAATAAACACGGCATTTTTTTTTTTAAATTTTAAAATAGGCGGTCTTAGTGGGACACCCTTTAAAATAACCTTAAATTAACTTTCAAATTGACGCCCTGATAGAATAAGGTTTATTATAGAGGAGTAAAATGATTGTTCTTACCACTTTGAGGTCTCTTTTAAGGCTTGCAAGTCTCTCTGTAAGGAACAACGTTTAAAACGATTATTAATCTGTACAAACACAAAGCACAAGAATTGTAAACAACAAAAATGGCCGCCATTGAATGATGTGCAGTGTTGCAGTGATTTTTAGTATTTTTAGTACGAGATCGAACAGACCTTGTTGTGTGGATTGTGAGTAACTTGAAATAAAGGTAGAAACCGAAAATTGTTATCATGTGTTTGACAACGGATCAAATTTTTCGGGTGCCGAAAATGCCGTATTTTTATTTGTCCGTCCAATTTTGGCCATTTACCGGAAATCGCTTTTTTCAAACGAGTGGAGATTTTTCCACCAAATTTAGGAAAAAGTGCTTCCAGGCGGTGGTTTGACCCGTAACATTGTCGAAAACCAATCGGAGTTACGATTATTTTTTTATTTCTAATAATTTGGCATCCCACTGTAAACACTGGTCTGAACTGGTGCATTTTTTGCTTCAAATTAAATTAATAAATAAATATCTTTATTAATATTTCATTCATATTTCAATCAAGTACACAAAAAACAATCCTAAAAATTAAATGTTGATCATTTTGCACTAATTGGCAAAACATATTTTTCATTAGACGCATAATATTCGCCTTGCAAGCAAAACAGTGTGGTCAACGCTGTTTTATTAATAATCCATCGAGTAGAATAAAGACGCGCTAATTGCAGCGATGTTGTTTGAAGATCGGTAAAATTAATGCGCGTGTTTGTGATGTCTAACGGGCTCGATGGCTTAATTGATAATCAGAAAGTTTATTATTATGGTGGAAAATTGGAAATGATTAAAAACAAACCGCCTAATATTAGATATCCTGTTGGAACGTTTCCAAAACTCTGTTTAGTGTTTGGAAGCTTCCTATACAGAGGAAATACATGTTTAAAATTAGTCAAGCAATTCATTCGGGCTGTTATAAGTTGAACGACGATAACATTTGTCATTGTTGTGTAAACAATTTTTCAACTATAATTTAGTTACAAAAAGTTTATAACTTTGCGACTTTTTGTCCGCAGGTTCTTATTGATGAAGGAAGTGGGGCTGGAAAAGAGAAGGAAAGAGGCGAAAAGTTTACTGCAATGGCACAAAAAACTTGTCGAAGAAGAAAAGCGCATTGCTGCATTGGAATCGTCAGCAAAAATGGTTATATCTCAGTTACCTAAGGCAAAGGACAAAAAGCAAACCGCATTTAGTGCTGATGAGGTCAAGTACGAGTTTAAAGGCTCCCTGCTCAAACAATTGTGGTTCACCATTACAGGCAGTGAAACCAAGGAATACATCGACAACAGAATTTATTTAATGTCGGAAGCGGCCTTCAAGAAATTCAACCAAAAGGCCACCGATTTAGCGCAAAAAACTAAGCTTGCCAGGAAAGACAGTGTAGTGGAACTGAATCTAAGTGATCTAACCTCTTTCAGCATTCCAAATGATGATAGTGCAAGTGCAAGTGAAAAAAATAAATCAGTTATAACTAAACATGAACAAAAATACAATAATGTGCCAGAAAGTGTTAATTCCACATACTCCACGGACTTTGACGTGGAATCCATCAAAGAAATAGCAAGTGTTAAGGAACCAGTGCCAGAAAATAATACAATTTCCTCTATTAGTGATTTAATTAAAAATTTCACCATTATTGGTGAAGAAATGTCAGTGATGAGCAGAGAATCTCAAAAACTATTAAACGACTCAAATATCCTACTTAATGAACTAGATGAGATTGAAGAAAAGTCTAATCAAACCAGTGTAATATCTGAAAAATTAAATACAGAGACTGAAGAAAAAATAACAGAAAATTACAAAAAAATACAGAAACAATCATCTGGAAGCGAAATTGATACAAAATCTTCCGGTGAAAAATTGGAAAAAGATTTATCCATAACCGAAGAAGAGCATAAAATAATAAATTTAGTCAGTCAGTCCTCCACTGAAAGTCAAAAAAATTATAAAGATTTAACAATAACCGAAGAAGAGCAGAAAATACTGAATTTAGTTACTCAGTCCTCCACTGAAAGTCAAATAAATAATAAAGATTTAACCATAACCGAAGAAGAGCAGAAAATACTGAATTTAGTTACTCAGCCCTCAACTGAGAGTGAAATAAATACTAAATCATCTAGTAATAAATCACAAAAAGTCACAACAGAACCTTCACTTTCTTCAAAAACCTCCCTAAAATCGAACATCGAAGAAATTCTTGACGTATCGCAAAAAATTGACGACATTCTCGCAAAGCACGTCGCCTCAAATTCAAGTCAATCGGAATCCGAATATTCGAAACTTGAAGAATTAAGTTATGGAGCTTTGGAACAAAAAGCAAAAGATTCAACTTCTGAAATTTCCTCAAACAAAAAAAGTGAAAAGACTGAAAATGAAGTAAGTGCTGATTTAAAGAGCAAAGAAATTGGTTCGATTGAAGAAAAAGAACAGGATTCGTTATCGGACAAATCGCCGAGTGAAAAGATACACTCTTCCGAAACCCCTGAAAAATCTCAACCACAAGTAAAAATATCTGATTTAGTTTTGGAAAATAAATCTGAAGTTTTCTCTGAAGGAACAACGTCAAACATCGAAAGTATTTTGAATGAAATTCAAAGTACGAATGTTGAAATAGAGATTTCACAAAAAGCATTATCTCCAATAATTGATGATAATCATAGCGAAAAGGAGGTATCTGAAGTAAGTTCCCAAGGAACTTCAGAAGATTCTAAAATTCTGGATAGTGATAAAGAAATTTCAGTGGAAGAAGATAAATCCGAAGTACTTACTGTTATGTCTAGTAAAAGCAAAGTTAAAGAGTCCGTCAAGGAAGAATCAACCGCTAAATCAAACATTTTCATAGAAAAAACTATAAAATCGGATTTACTACCCACGGAAAACAAAGAAACGTCTCCCAAAAGCTTTAAAACCGCAACTCCATTAACATCTGAAAGTATTTCTAAAACCAAATCTCCTAAAAGCCAGCAATCCTCTGAAATAGCTTCTGAAGTATCTTATAGTTCATTTGAAAAATCACCAACTAGTTTAAGATCATCGGAAAATAAGTCACCAAAAGGTTTTGACGTCAAGAAAAGAGTTTCAGAAATAATGGCAGATGCCAATCCCAACAGGGGCGATAAGAGTCCTAGAATGCAAGATTTGTATGTCACTACATATGATGTTGTGTCTCCATCCAACTCTCCAGAATTAAGTAAGTACCAAAATTTTTTATCCATTGGATTGCGATTTATAGTTGAACATTAAATATAGCAAATTTTCCAATCCAATTAAAAAAATACTAAAAATTGGGTTTAATACTACAATTTTCTTTATCATGATTTATACTATGACAAACGTGTTTTTAAAGAATTTTAAAAATTGTATTAGTTCCATGCGTCTAATTCCTATATTATTGTTACATTTAAAGAAATATAAATTTAAAATATATTATATTTTAAATATGTATATTTCTAATTGTAACAATAATGCCGCTATTTAATCATAACGATGTCAAATAAATGATTTTTCTGGGTGGAACTGGCATTTCTTTTACAATTCAATTATTTTAACGAAATTCCTTTTTTATGAAGAAATAGATAAAATACAGGACCAGGACTTATTGTACTTCTTTCCATGATTTACCTACTTCTCAAAAATCAGTTTAAAAACGTTTTTGTATGATTTTTTTAGTGTTCAGAAAAACCAATAGGTGTTATCGGTTCAATGTTTACTCAACAACCAGGTTATAGTGAAATATGATATTTATTATAGTAGTTTTAAAGCGCCACTTTTTATGTACTAAGTACTAAGATTTTTTGATTATTTTTAATTCTTTTAAATGTTTTTTATTCCAAGGTCTGTATCTATTTTAACAATTTTTGATTGTTCTTGAAACATCTATTAATTTCTCTTTTATATTTTGTCATTTTAAAATAGGTTACAGTACAAATCCAATTAAAAAATCCTAAAAATTGGGTTTAATCACGGCGTTCTCTATAGATAGAGAACGCCGTGGTTTAATACTACATTTTGGAGAATCTTAAAGTTGTTATTAGTTCCATGCTTCTAATTCCTATATATTTTAAATGAATCTTTTTTTAACATTTTTTAAATTTATCTATCAGCTATGTTTTTTGCTCAAAAAATGTGGTGTTTTTATATAAAGTTGGCGAAAATGTAAAAATATGAAATAACAAAATGCACCGGAAAAATTACTTAAACGCTATTTAAAACAGTTAAATTTAACAATAATGACGCTATTTAATCATAACGATGTCAAATAAATGATTTATATGGGTGGAACACAATCGGGTACACGCATTTGTTTTTCGAATCAATTATTTTACCGAAATTGCTTATAATAAATTACAGGACCAAAGTTTGTACGTATTGTATTTCTTTCCTTGATTTACCTACTTTTCAAAAAGTCAATTAAAAAAAAATTGGTTAATTTTTTTAGTGTTCAGAAAAACCAGTATGTGTTATTGGTTCGACGTTTACTCAAAAAGTAGCTTATAATAAGGCATGATGTTTATTATAGTAGTTTTAAAGCGCCAAAAAAACAAACACGTCAAAAATTACTGGTGACACTTTTTATCTAAGATTTTTTGGTTCTTTTTAATTATATTAGTATAACATGTATTTTAAATATTTTTTATTCCAAGGTCTATAACAATTTTTATTGTTCTTTAAACATCTAGTAATTTTTCCTAATTTAAATTTTTTTCGTTTTTAAGATTGTATAGTTCTTTTTAATTTTTATATCATGAAATTAATTTATAATGATCATCATCAACATTGAATATATAAAATTATACTAAGTATATACCTAAATAGGTTTAATTAATTTTTTTTAGCTATAATATTTTTAATTTTCAAAAAAATTGCCTTCTTAATGATAATGATGTAACATCAAGAATTTCAAAAAGTTCTTGGTGCATTGAGATTTAAAAAAAATTGTAAAAATCATCATGTTAAGTAAAAAAAATTGTTTCATTTTCTTAGAAATTTAAAAAATTATATTTTATTTTCTTATAAATTTAAATAAATCATCTAGCTGAAACTCTAAAATTATAATAACCAAAAGTCTGTAAAAATTCTTAGGAACAGCTACTATTATAAGGTTAAATTCTGACAAGTTACCTACAATTTTTTTGGACTGTTACTTTGGCCGGAATAAATAATTAATTATTCAATCCCGATAATCCTTTGATATTTATAGCAAACTTACACTGGTATGCGACACTAATATTGGGATAGGGACTTGAACTTTGGAGAATTTTTTTTTTATTTATTTTGAACACTGGATAGGGATTTACTTTTTACCCATCTGGCAACACTGAGTCGGACTCTAAAATTTGCCATCACGATCCGACAAGTTTGCTTAGTCAATAAACAAAATTGTCGTTACTGGTGTCACACCAGTGGTGTGAAAAAAATCCTAAAACAAAACATCAAATGCTTTTGCATAGCCCAAAAGTATGGGAAGGCATTTTAGCAACTTTTTTATGAGAATATTTTAAAAGATATTTGGGGGACTTAAGGATAATATCGGACAGAAATAGAGGCCATAATTGAGCAAACTTTTCGGAGCGTGATTGCAAATTTTAGAGTCCTACTTCAAGATTGCCAGAAAAAAATGGGCAATATTTGGACATCATTTAAAAGAATAAATTTCCCAAGTTTTTTCCGCAACTTATAAATAATAAAATACATTTATTTTCCCAAAAAACTACAAAGTATAGAGAGGGAACTCTAATGAATTCTTAAAAATTCGTACAAATAGGTAATTATAAAATATAAATAAGTAAAAAATAATATAAAACAAGTAAAATAAGCCTAAATACACTAAAATACAACAACAACAACAATATTAAAATATAAACAACATATTAGCATTTAAAGTGGTTCTTTATTAAGTTAATATCTAGGATATTGTACTTAACCCTTTCGGAGCCAAATTTAAATTACTGAAAAAAAATTTTTTTTTCGTTATAGTTGCATTCATTGGTATTATTTTGAGATATTTTTGAAAAAAAAAAATTTTCATTATTTTTTTTCATAATATGACATGTCCACTGGAATGGACAAAGTTACTTTAGAGAGGTCAAGTAATTATACAGTCATCTACTGTGTTTTATGTCTAGTCCACTATAATGGACAACATGTTTTTGAGACAAAATATTTAATATTTAAAAATATAAATGGTGTTAAAAAAAATATCCACTCCAGTGGACATAGCGTACGAAAGGGTTAACTCCATTATACAAAAAATAGATATTTTTTAAATCTAGAAGTAACAGGATACAAATTTATTAAATTGTTGTTTCATAAACATGTATATTATTTCTTACAGTAAGATTTGTGTGTTTTTTTTAATTTAAATTATTTTTAATAAAAAAAAGCAGTTGCCTGACAATTATAAATATTTTCAATTGGCATAATATTAAAATTCTTATATTAATCTGAGGTACTATATCTTATAGGTAATAAGTAGAGATTTTTAATGGCCTTATTTTAAAGGCTTTTAAAAGTGGAAAACCATACCGCCGTGAGATATTGAAGATGGAATTAGTGAAAAATATACCAATGTTATTATTTTGGAATACAGTAGTTAAGTTTGTTCAGAATTTTAAGTCCAGCAATTTTTTGTCGAATTTATGAATATGATTAGAAAATGATATGACCTTATCAATTTCCAAACCCAAGAATTTTACACAAGATGTTTTCTTTTGCCTATGAACATGAGGATTTTTTAACGTTTAAAGTAAGTTTATAAATCCTGTATAATGTCCAACTTTAAGAGGTCGTAGTACACAAGAAACGCATCATCGGCAAACAGTATAATGCTACCCCTGAGCGGTACGAAATTAATATATGTTAAAGAAAGTGTAGGGCCCAAAATTTATCCCTGAGGCACACCATAGTCTAGACCAATTCGATCACTCATAGCAACACCAACTGCCACCAATTGACGCCTGTTCCCGAAGTAGTCCTCAAACTATCCAATGTCTATTCCCATCAGCCCAACTTCTCCACCAATATTTTGTGGTTTACGGTGTCGAATGCTCTGCATAAGTCCAGAGAGAAAAGCGCACATTTTAGTTATTAACTACGTTTAATTGAATGTCCGTGATCAAATCGTTAGCGGGACGATCGAAAACCATATGAAACTTGGATAGAAAATTGATGCTGTCAAAATATTTAACTAATCGGCCGATAGTTATTAACATTACTTCTATCGTCTTGTTTAAAGAGAGGATTTACTTTTGCGATTTTCACCTCACTATGCACTAAACCACTTTTCAAGGGTTGGTATTTAAAACTGGCCAGACTTCATATTTACTTTCATTTACCGTTTTTACATCTTAATAAAGAATTTGTCAAAATTGGTCGACTGTTTTTTTTAAATCTGAATTCAAAAAGTGAAGAACTAAAAGAGCAAATTTAATAAAAAATAAGTTTAAGAAAAATATATTATGAGTATTATACTATAATAGCTATATACTGCTATATTTTTCCCCCAAAATATTTGCAGATAATAAATACGAAAATTACCAACTTACTAAATGTTATAAATTATTTACATATTAAATATTGTTTATAAAGGTTCATCAAGTGATGAAAATTACCAACTTACTGAATCTAATAATTTCAAAATTATTTACAGTAATGATTATAAATGAATATTATTTTTTTAGGGTCATCAAGTGATGAAGAGTTAAAGTCCCTTACACCAACAAAGAACTTTGGTTCAGAAGCTGAGGAACTTCTTAGAAAGCAGTTGGCAATAGAACAAGAGGTACTTTTATTGATATTTTGTTGCAAACTTTTATTTAGCATATGTTTATGTTTTAGATTAAACAACTGGAGCAACAGCAAAAAGAAATCCCCTACGTATTTGTAAGAGAAATCCCCAACAAACCGCCTCCGCCATACACTCCTCCATCTTCTAGTCAAGTAGTGCCGGTAAAAACAATACTCCCAACTAGCGCCGAAGAAATAGACGAAATCACGAAATATTCTGCTAAAATTATTCATAAAGCCTATCTAAACAACAATTTGGAAAATATATCCATATCAGAAAACACCCTAAGTTTAATCAATAAAAACAAAATAACTACAAATTGCTACAAATTTGTCTTTGACATTTGCAAAGAAATTGCCAAAAATCATTACAAACAGTTCGAAAAAGAAGATGGACCATCTTGGCTTATAGTTGCCAAGAAACCACTTGTTGCTCCCATCAAGCCATTGGATGTCAATGGGCTTGAAACACTGATGAGCAATAAATTAAAAGAACTTTTTAACTACAAGAAGCTCAATGTCAGAGAGAACACAATTATGAAATGGAGTAGGAAAAAGAGGGACCATGTCGATGAAATTTTGATGCTTGAAACTCAAGCAGAAGAAGTTGATTGGACATATTACGATAAGGATGAACTTATTGTTATCGATAGAGTTACAAATGATATTATGAATACTTTACTTGCTGACACTGTGAACGTTTTTAGACAAATGCTTTTGAAAAAGACCCATTTGTATTAAATTTTTTAGTTTAAGAATTACCTATAGGTACTGAATTCAATTAACTTTATTTTGTGTATTTTATTTTTTTGTTTATTTATTGTTTACTTTTAATATTTTCTAGAATTTGCATTGATTATTTTCTTTTTAATCAATGTTATATATAAATAAAAAAAATAAATTAATTTGGTCTTGTTTTTATTAAGCTATAGTTTTGACCATAGACAAGGGATTGGTTGGGTGGGCGGGGGGTTTTGACAAACCTGACAATTGTCATGGTCATAGTAACTTATTAATTTAATAATATCATGATCTGTTTATTCCAACACATACCTCTTATTCGCTATAATATAGATTTTGTATCCTTTTTCTGAGGGGAAATTTGATGATTTGGCGTATCATATTACCTTTAAGTTGCATAGTCAGTTCATAAGTTGGGGATTTAAATAATAATAAATCTTTATTTTCCAACAGAATAACAACTCCAATAATAGGACAACAATTAAGGTTAAGTAAGAGCTAAACTAAAAAACAATTACAATAAGTTTAAGGCAGAGCCTAACTAAAAAAAAAAGTACAATACATGCAAAAACCCAAATGTAAGAAAATAAACTAAAAAAAATCGAAGGGAAACAAAAAGAAAAACTACATAAAATATTCAGTTGCTACAACCAGGATTGATTTTAAGATATCATTGTGTAAATTAACTATAGCTATAGCTATAGCTCGGATATTACATTAAACTTGGAACACATATAAATTATAAATTGGCATTGAGTGGAAGTGGTAGGTACCTAGCTTGATTTATCATGTGGAGTGGATTTCCATAATTAAATATTTTTGTTATTGATTAAGACTTAAAAAATTATATTTTTTTGTCTAAAATTTATCATGCGGAAACTACTGAATCGAAAAAAAATCATAAAACAAATTTTGTTCTCAATCGGTAATTATTTTTTTTAACATGGTGACACATAATTATTACAGAATATGAAAAAAAATCAGGAGGGTTTTTATAATTTTTTCTTAAAATACCTACTGAAAAATTATTTATAAATATACCTATATTTTTTATGAATTTCATAAATCTCGTGAAGCTAAAAATGGTCAAAAAAATGGAACGAATAAGCAATTTTATTCGATTTATTTTGTCACCTGACGTTTTAAAAAGACCCTCCCTCTCCAGCTTTACGAGATTCATGGACGGCCTTAAATTTGATAGCCCCCCCCCCCAGAAGGAAATCCTGCGCACGGCTCGGATGCCTGAATGAAACAAGTAAAGTGAATTTTTTTCTCCTTGAACACTAAAAATCTAAGCAGGCGCGGCTACAGGGGGGACCAATGGGTGTAATTCCCCCCCCTAACTATAGTTATAACCTATTTGTTTTTATTTTTAAAAAATTTTATGACACAAACAGCATTATGCAAAAATCAAAGAGTCTAAGCATGCGCGATACAGGGGGACCAATTACCTTAAGATACAGGAATATTAATATTCCTGTAGAAATTTCTATTCCCGGAATCCAATTTTGTCCCTCCTGGGTCAAAGTCAGCTATTTTTCACACTTTTTCATCGAGCGATACACACGAAAGTTAAAATCGAACTCGTTCATAATGGACGTAATGGTTTGTTCTGTGATGATAATATGCTGTGCTTATACAGTGTGGCCCATTTGTTTGCGACTCACCCCTGTAAAATCTTTATTTATTGTGCGATTTTAAGCGGATTTGTTTTAAAGTTCAGATCTTGATAAACTGTATTTTTCGAGCAAAAGACGCCATATTATACTATAGTACAAAATACAAGACCTACTATGCCAGTTTTGAAGAGTAAAGATTTCATATTAGCGATTTTTTTAAACAAAATCTAAGCGCGGACTGGATTCACCACCCCTTTACTAAATTTTTAGTGAAAAATTTTAAGTAGAAAAATGCACAATAATAGGTATAGGTAAGTATATGGTTAATAGTTATTATTGTGCATTTTTTTCTTAAAATTTTTCAATAAAATTTAGTATAGGGTCGTTTTGAGGGGTGGTGAATCCAGTGCACTGCACGACATGCCGTACTTAGATTTTGTTAAAAAAAAGCGAATATTAATTCGTCACCTGAGTATTGGTTTGTGCTATCTCCATTTTTTACCATTTTGAGGTTTATGCATTTTCGGAAAGTTGGAGTTGGTTTGTTCCATCTCCATAATAGTATTTTGATATAATTGTGTTAGTTTTTAGTTTAGGCTAGTCTAAATCCCAGTTTAGTATAAAAGGTTTAAAATTGGTTTACTCTATCTCCAAAATTTCGCTTACAGGCTTTCTTTTGCTCTATGTGTTTGTAAAAATCTGAAAATAATTAGTATTTGTTTGTGCTATATCCATTTTATAACTGTTTTGTGCTATCTCCAAGGAAAGCTTCCTTATAAGTATAAAATTGTTTTGTTCTATATCCACTTTAGCCAGTACACTTTTTTTCACCTATTTACATTAGGGTGGTCCTTAATAAAGTTATTTTCAAATTTCTTTGCTCCCAGGGGCTCAAATGCTTCCAAATTAATAAAAAAAAATTCCCTGAAAATTTGAGCTCTTAATATTAACTCTAAGATAGTGCGCATTCCAATCTAAGTTTCCTATGGAAATAACATAGGAAAAATTATTTTTGTTGTTTATAATTTTATAACTTGGGAACAAATAAATTATTTGGTAAAGCATATAATTAATTATTTATAAAACAAAATAAGTTTATTTAGCACTTTTAATCTTGACACAAACGGCGCCTCATAAAAAAGCCTTGATGATATTAATAATAATATGAAAATTAAACTTTGGCCTTGAATAACTTTTAAACCAATAGACTAATGGAAAAATTATAAGAAACCTTTTTTGTAGAGCGTTAAATTCTCTATAAAAATATGTATGATTTATAATTTTTAATTCATTCGTTCCCAAGTTATAAAATTATAAACAGCAAAAGTAATTTTTCCTATGTTATTTCCATAGGAAACTTAGATTGGAATGCGCACTATCTTAGAGTTTATATTAAGAGCACAAATTTTCAGGGAATTTTTTTTTATCAATTTGGAAGTATTTAAGCCCCTGGGAGCAAAGAAATTTAAAAATAACCTTATTAAGGACCACCCTAATTTACATGTATATGATCATTATTAAATAACCTTATTAAGGACCACCCTAATTTACATGTATATGATCATTATTAAATAAAGTGTTTTTTAATTCAGATTTGTTTCATGTCCTAAAACTTTGTTATATGTCCAACATTTTGTTTCTAAAATCCAAAAATAGCACTTTTTGTTTTATCTCCAAAACGTTTTTTTCAATATTGAGGCATAAATCCAAATTTGAGATAAGAGTTGCTTAATAGAACTAATTAAAGGCTAAACAAGAATATTGTTATTAATGTTTATTTAAGTTTTCATTAAAAAACAAATAAGATATTTAATGTAAAAGTTTCAAACCCGTTTATCTCGATTATAACATATTGGACATAGAACAAATCAATACTCAGGTGCATTTTTAAGAATTCGTCATGACGAATTCTTAAAAATTTACCCTTAAAAACTGCCATAGTAGGCCTTATATTTTGTAAAAATAGGGCGTTTTTGGTTAAAAAATACAGTTTATCAAGATCTACACTTTAAAACAAATACGGATAAAATCGCACAATAAATAAAGATTTTACAGTCGCAAACAAATGGGTCACACTGTATATAGGCTTGGTGGAATTCATTTTGGACACCCTTTTCTTCTTCTTCTTCTTGAAACTGACAATCTTTCTAACCTACAAGTTTGCTTTGTTTAAATTTCATTTGTTTTCTATAAAAATGTATTCTCAGTCCATAAACCAAAAGAGTGAATTATACCCTGCAAATCAAACGCAAATAAACAACGCTTATCCACAAGATAACGTGTATGATATTTACTCATCGACTTCAGCACAAGTTTACAATACACATCCACCAGCATATTCCGCGGCTTATAATGGAACGAACTGGGATTCAAGAATAATGTTTGATGCAGACAAATCATTAAAAATTCCTGATAAAATCGATATGATTGAAATAACTAGTAAGGATTTGAGCCCAGTGAGCTATTGCAGTGACTTGATTCAAGATGTTTACAAGTATAATAATGTTTATAATAAGTGTGATAATCAGTGGTACTACCCATATAATCAATATCCATCATGTGCACAAGTAAGTAAAAGCAATACCAATATGCAAAACATGAACAAGTATTGTAGTATTCAAAAGAACAGTAACTATTGTGATTACAGTGAACAAGAGTACTATAAAAACTCTTGCCAGGTGAAAAATGTTGAACCTAGTGTAAACAATTTAAATCTGTGTAATCAGTTTGAAAAGTTTCAAGAGAACTATACACACACCTCAAACTTTTATTCGTTAAATGACATACCGTTTGAAGCAATTCATCAAATAGACCAAAACACTGAAGATACAAATGAAGAAAGTGATATTATAGTTGAAGAATCAGATGATGATGTCACAGACTTTAGTGAAGATCATGAAAATATAAGTAATAAGTGCATTATTTGTAATTTGGGTTATGCACCAATGGGTAGGCAATTTTATTTTTTGACTATGAAATCTCCTTTAGCCATGACTACTCAAAAACCAGTGTATAATAAAATAATAAGTATTGTGGGAAAGATAAGAACCAAAAAAGATTATATTTGTAGTGAGTGTTTAGGGTTATTAAATACTATAGATCATTTGACTGTTAAGTTAAATAATTTTAAACAAGAAATTTTAAGTAAATTTCAAAAAACTTGTGAGAGTAATAATATTGGAAATGTCAAAAAACGAAAAAATAAGTTGTTAAAAATGCCAAGATTTAAATGCAAGACATGTAAAAAAATCGTTTGTATAAAACAATTCTTAAATTATCATTTAAAAAGGCACAAATTAAGCAATACCTATTTATGTGAGTTATGTGGCTTATCTTTTCAAAAATACATTTTATTCAAAAGGCATAAATTATCTCATAAAACCAAGTATAAACCTGTTAAAAGGTCAATAATTGCTCATAAATGTACCAATTGTAAAAAGAATTTTAAAACTAAAACAAACTTTACCGAACATCAAAATTTCTGCTTGGGTATTCTCCCTTTTAATTGCACTGATAAATTGTGTGATAAAAAATTCGCATCATCTACAAAATTAAAAAATCACATTAAATTAAAACATGAAAAGAAATTTATTGCAATTTGCTCAATTTGTAATATAGGTTTTATTAAGTTGTCTGATTATAAATCTCATAAAATAACTCACAGTGCAGATAAAAAATTCTCTTGTGAAAAATGTGGCAAAAATTATAAAACTTTAAGTAATCTTAATTTTCACATGAAAGTGCACAGTGACAAACTACCTTTTATCTGTGAATTATGCGATAAAGGTTTCTTAAGAAAGGATTACCTTGAGGCTCACATAAACAACCATAATGGTGTTAAAAATTACAATTGCAACGTATGCAGTAAAAAATTCGTTTCTCAGAAAAATTTGGACGCGCATTTAAAATATCATGATGGCACAGTAAAAATATATAAATGTAATATTTGCGGAAAGTCAATGAGCAGTGGTTTTGAGGAACACTTAAGAACACATAGTAATGTAAGGGAATTTGAGTGCACAAGCTGTGATATGAAATTTAAGACTAAAGGATCTCTATCCAAACATGTTAAAATTAAACATGAAAAGGATATTAAAGTCGTTTAACAATTTATAGATTTTTTATTTACCTTACAATTAATATTAATATATATTTATTTTAATCTTCATCTGATTCTTCATCTGTATCCGATTCATCATCCTCATCTTCCTCACTGTCTTCTTCCTCACCCTCAGACTCACTACCAGATCCAAGCCATTCACAATTCTTATTATCATGTACAATTGTTTTCCATTCATCAAGTTTTTTTAAATCCAGAGAATAAAAATCATTAAAAGTAATTTGTTTATCGCCTTCCTCTGACATACCTCCATATAGATAAAGGATCCCATGTTTTATTGCCATTCCAGCGTTTATTCTTGGGGATGGTCTAAATAATTGGGTTTCTTCTAGGGTTTGCAATAAAGAGGTGGATGATGTCACAGGTACAGGACCTACTGTCACCTTAAAAATGCCATCATCGGATATTGTGGTACTTTCCACAGTTTCTTGAACCTCCATTTCTTCAGATTCTGTATCTAAAACAGTATTGAATTTAATTTTTTTAATTATATTTAATTCATGATTTTCTAAAAATGAATATGCACGAGCGAAGCACGGCGAAGAAATCGCCGCCCTTTGCCACGAGATATGTCCACTATTTTTTTATGACAAGCGCAACGGAAATTCGACTTTGGCTGCCTTTGGAAAGATAACGAAATTTTAATATTTAATATAAACAAAATTTCAGTCGTACAAACCTAAAGATAATGAAAAAAGTTAACTTTTGCGTTTACAGCTAAATTAGTTTACGTAATTACAGATTCTGTAATACAGAACATAAGTTTTCGCTACTAGGGGCGAATAAATCAGCTGTAGATGCGAAAGTTGAGGCGTCTGCATGAAAAAGAGTAGAAATACCTACTCTTATAAGCATAATTTTGCTTCTTTAATGTTTTGTTTGGTCTAAGGTATTAAGCCATTTTTATAAACTTTTGAAAAGCATACTATCTATAGATAAGCAAAAAATGTTGATTTACAACCAAAGATGTACCCAACAGGTTTTTTTTTTTAATTTAAAAAAAAAATCTAAGAAATACCTTTTTGTTTATTTTGAAAATTGCTACAATAATTCACAATACAGTATTCTGACAAAAAGAGTAGGTATACGTACTCTTTGCTTATAAGCATAATTTTGCTTATTTAATGTTTTGTTTGGTCTAACGTTTTAAGCACAGACCTACAAACAAGTAGGTCTGTGGTTTTAAGCCATTTATATACTTTTGACAATCATACTACCGTAAACACGGATGGCTTTGCACCCCGCGGGTGACTTTATGAAAAATCTTTTCGCGCTCGATAAAATTAACATTTATAATTTGTTGATCTAAACCTGTCAATTGAGCGATTCTATTGAGTTTATATTACAGGAAAATCAGTGTTTTAAAGAAATAAATGGTATTTATTATACTTTAAAATTGTATATATTGTATCAGTGCAAAACTCTTATACAATTTCTATATTATGCGCAATCCTTTGGAATGATGATCCTTGGTTAACTACGGGTCGATATTTTATTTTTTTTATCGGTAATCCCTTGCAATAGATATATGTCGCTGCTAACACGTGTCTAATAAAAATAAAATATTGAGTTAATTTTATACGGAAAATACACTGTGAGACAAAGTTACCTTTGCACACCCAGTTTTTAATTTTAATTTTTGGAACTCAGCCCTATGCAATATTAAAATATAGTTATTATGAAAGAGCAAATTTTGGTATACAATATTTAATGTTTATGATTGTTAAAACCACAAAAATTTTAAGATTAAGTTTGAAAGTGAGCTAAAGCCACCCGTGTTTACGGTATCTATAGATAAGCAACAAATTTTGATTTACAACTAAAGATGTACCCAACAGGTTTTTTTTTAATTTGAAAAAAAAATCTAAGAAAAACCTTTTATTTTTTTTTCAAAATTCCAACAATAATTCACAATAAAGTATCCTGTCAATAACAGAAATATTAATTATTAATATTTTAAGAATAGTGTAGGTATATTAATAAATAATACTTAATATTAGTACATTATAAACCAGGTGAATGAGTTCATATTAGTCTTGTTCCTACCGAGCATTTGGACTGCTAATACCAAAATCGCATGCACAATACGAACATTTTGTCGCGATTTTACTATTGCGCATACATGTCCCTGGCGTCCATTTGTCTAAATGCTCGGTAGGAACCAGCATTTCACTGCCGAGCAGTAGATTGTATGCGAGGAAATTAATAAGCTTTCGCCGCCAGGTTTTATATACTTTTTTAAGCATTTAATTTTAATATTTCTACGCTTAAAAAATAGTAGATTATACATACAGTTTTTTATAGGGAATTTGTCAAATTTGAAAATTGGGGAGTTTCTAACAAAAACTTATAGTAGATTATGTCATTAGGAAGATAAGTGAGTCTTTTTGTGCTGGGCTTAAAAGATTGCAAAGCAATTAAGTGAAGCACAAAAAGACCTTCTTCTCTAAAAAACATTAACTTAATATGAATGATTCTGTCAATAACAGTTTGTCAATGACAAATGCTTTCTACGAAGGCATAGGCGGAAATAATATGAACGAAAAGGGGTTAAAAATAGTATATTCTATAACAAGTTTGGAATACAGCATATTCCGCTCGAGTGAAAAGTTTGTCACACGAGCCGAAGGCAATTCCAAACGTGTTTCAGACTATACTTTTTGTACGTTTCCAAAAAATACAATAGAAAGATTATTTAATTGAAAAAAAGTGAGGTTGGATCGGTCTAAATATGTTAGATAATAAACAAAGAGATGTCGCCACCAGTATTTATTCCGTCATCAGATGATAGAATAATTCATTCTGTAATACTTTCAGGAATATGTGTCATTCCACATTAAAAAGTGGTATTAGAACGGTCATATTCAGTAATAGGAGTAGAAATAGTTATTTATGTAATTAGGTTAAGAAGTAAGGCTTTTTGTGCTAAGCTCAAGGTTTGAAGGCCGACGCGTAGCGGAGGCCTACAATTGAGCGAAGCACAAAAAGGCACTTCTTGGCCGAATGGCATACAACATTTTATCTTCAAAGCACTTTATATAGGTCAATTTAATTCAACATCAAAGCGGCCTAACCTCACTTTTTTAGAATCTCATTTATTTATTAGCTAAAGATTACATTAAATGTACAATAATTATTATTGCTTTTAGAAGCAGTAATAGTTTGACAATACTTAGCTACATGATTTAAGTAGAAATGGATTTTTGCTATTACATTGAATTCAATTAGTTGTTTAATAAATAGGTAGGTATCTAATTTCAATTTGTTTGCATTTTTATTGAAAAAATAGGTAGTTTGGAATGTTTAAGCTGTGTTTAACATTTAATTTCACTGAAAACTTAAAGCAAATTAAAACTTAAAGATAATTTAAATCGTAGAAAAAGAATCGTGCGTTTTCTTGGTTGCCTAACCTCACTTTTTGTTTTATTATTCATATTTAATTTTACAATAATTTAATGAAAAATATTAAACATTAACAGTAAAACAAACAAATTAGTGCTTATTATAAATAAATTAAACCAGTTTAGTACGTTAATTAAAAGGATTAATTTGTCAAAACAATACCCCTAGCGAGAAAAAATCGAACTAATTACTTGCCTCATAAAATTTTTTATCGGCCTAGGCCATAACAAGGTATTTCTTTATCGAATGTTTAAATTATAGACCGCGTGGAGATAAAATATATAGAGAGGGTCTCTAAAATAATAGAGAGGGTTTCTAGTTTCAACCTAGGTGTTTAATATTGTAATTAAAATTGTGAAATTTAATGCAAATTTCTTAATTTTGCATAATTTATTGAATGTAGCAACAAAAGCTTGTTAAAATTCTTTATTCAATACAAAATTTGTTTTTTCATAAAATAATTTGCAAATTTTAGTGAAATAAATGCGCGAATTTTGTACTAAAATATTCGCACATTTAGTTTTAGTTTAGTTGAACAAATTTTTTGCTTGATTATATCAATAAAAAAGTAAGTTCTCATTGGCAAAAAACGTAAAAAAATAGGCATGCCGCATACCGAATTGAAAAGAACCAAAATTTAAAAAAAAATAACAAAAACTTTTTTGTATGTAACATCTCTATTTTAACATAAATAAGTTATTTTACCTTCTGCATCTTCATCATCCTTTTTTCTTCTTCTAGCTTTCTGGTCCTTGTCCCTTTTGCCACACAATGTGACGGTTTTCCAGGCCAGTTTTTCCAAATCCAATTGGTAAAAATCGTTGTAAAAATTACCAGAAATATCTTCTTCATCTTCTTCTATATCGAAAACACCTCCAAAACAGTAGGCAGACGAATTATTGGGTGTTGAAGTAATTGGCATACTGCATCTTGGCGAAAATAACGATCCTAGTTTGACTTGTACCCATTTAAATTGAGTTCCAGTGGGATCATTTTCTGTAAGAGATCAATTTAAATATACATATAGGTACACAGGATTTACATGACTAATTTGTTTATACAAGATTTTGTTTATATATTTGGGTCGTTTTCAAAAAACACCAATAACTTTGTTAAAAATGATCGGATCTTATTGATTTAACAACCAAGTGAAAGCCTAACAAGCCCTTAGTAAACTCTTTCAGAAAATGATTGTTTAGTTATTTCAGAATATTTTTTTTTAATATTGAATAACCAGAACTTTCTGTTGCTTTATAGCAATCCATAACATCCTTAGTTAATACAGTAAACAATTTATATATAAAATAATTAATTTTAATATACTTTTTTTAAATTTGACTCATGTCCCAGGCATTTTTTCCGTTGCGTTACGTCCGTCGCGTTACCGATAGAATATTAAAAAAAACATATATATGGCAACTTTTTTGGCACTCACGTGATCCACAAATGATTTTCAGACGTACACATTACCCAGCTGAATTTATTTATTCAATCAGGAAGAAGATATCGGTTGAAACAGGTGCAGGTAACGCGAATGTAATAATTGTTTGTCCTCTAAGTTACTCAAAAAAATAATAAAAATAAGGTAAGAAAAAATACTATTTTTCATGATTATGTTTATTTTATTGCACCAAAGCTCATTGAGAGTAATTAATTTATGACTGTCTTATTATTTTTTAAATATGGTTTCACAAAACTTTTTCCACTGCGATACCGAGTCCATTATGTTGCCTTATGGTAACGCAATGGAATTTAGGGTAACGCAATAGAATTTTTCGACAACAAAGTGGATATTTACCGTCGCTTTTATTAAAAGTAGTTTATGATAAACCAATTTAAAATTATTTGTGATTACAACTCATGATATAGATTACATCCAAGGGAAAATTTCACGCAATATAGGTACAAGTACTAAAAGGGACCTTCACAAGCTTTTAGTCAAAGAAAAAGGGTGACTGCAATTTAGAAATCTAAGTTGTTACTCTGCAAGTGAGCACCACTACAAGGGATTTTGTTTATGCATTACTCTAAAATCGTACCACCCTTTATAGTTTCTTTTTTACGTTACCTGATTAAGTCCTTTGTGTACCCCAGTCCGTTGTGATACCAATGTCTATTTCGTTACTTTTTTATGTTAAAAAAATACTTAAAATGATTTTTATACACTATCACTAATACAATGACTAAAAGAAAATATTATTGGTATTGTTTTTTTAACAAAAAATCGGAATGGTTTCTTTCAAAACGTAACTTAACATAGGTACATATTTAAAAAAACCATACAATTTTTAATAAAAAATAAAATAAAAAATTGGAGTCAAAAGTTTTTAAACTAAGTACCTAGGTACATTTTATTTAAATTATTTTTATAACAATTTTTTTATTGAATTAAATTTTGGATTTCAAATTGGTAACACAGTGGAGATATAATATATATTATAAAGCTAGCTAAACACATTTTTCTGAAAAAAACGTAAAAAAAATTAAAAAGTGCACTGCCTGTCTTAAATGTAAGTAAACAAAACTCTAAACATTTATAAAAATCCAACCAAGTCAATTAGGGCAAAAAAAAATTTTGATCTTCATTTTCCTGAAAGCGGGTGTTTCTTGAAAATGACCCATTTACTTTTTACTCTATTATAATATTAAAATAATTATTTTACAGAGAAACAACTTTTATCTTTATTGTGTATGGAAAAGATATTATTGTAATTTAAATTTACTGTTAAATCTTGGAGATGTTAAGCTGGCACCGCAAAGGTAGCACACACCAAGCAAAATATGGTAATAAATTTGAGCAAATTTATTGCTAATTTGTTACCAAAGCATTAAAAAGAAAGTGTTGGTTTATGCTGTAGAATACTTACTCTGTGGTGTAAGGACAAATGCATCGGTGTAAACATGGCCTTTATCAACATCCTTTTTAACTTTTTCCTTACTGTATCCTCCATAAATCAAAACCCTTCCATCATTTAATGCAACCATGCAACATCCTGATCTAGGAGCAGGTGGAGTACCTGTGGTTTCTAATTTCAACCATTTATAAGTCTCCATATTAAAACAATATAAATCATTGAAATACTTATAATCCCTTAAATTATCATGAAAACCACCAAAAACAAACAACTGTTTCTTGCTGATCACCATTCTATGTCCACTTCTTGCACTAGGTCCATTAGGAGCAGAAATTTTCTCCCATTGCTTTTTCACTATATGATAGACCCATAAATCTCGATAATGGTAAAATTGAGACTGTGTTGGACTTGCATATTCACCACCAAAAATCCACAATTGACCTTTATTAGAAGATGTAACAACCATTTGGTGACCACACCTTGGTGGGGGACCACCAGGTGCTTTGACAATGGTCCAAGAATAATTTTTTAAATCATAAAAGTATAAATCACCATAAATCATAGTTTTTTGTCCGTTATCAAACTCTCCACCATACAAAATCAACTGGTCTTTTTCTGGATGAGCAACAAAAGAAAAATTAAGCCTCCGGGAAGGTTGCTCAACTACTGCTTCAGTCACTTGCTGTCGTTTTTTCTCTTCATTTTCTATTTGGACAACAATACTTTCAATATCATCTTCACCAAGGTTTTTCAGTGCTTTCTTTAATTTATTAGACAGCCTTTTCTCTGTTTTTGCCTGGGTTTTCTCGGCACCCTTGCCTTTTTTCTTGTCTTTGTTTTTCTTGCCCATTTTAATTAATATGAATAAATGTGCGATGATAACATTAGATTTTAGGTTAGGAAAATAAGTAAGGTTAATCTTCTTCCACTTAGTAAGTGGAACCACGATACACCACAATTGTGCGATACACCATATAACAAATATACACAAAAACCAAGATACATAGTATGTATTACATACGTACGGGGAATTCCACGTGAATCAACACAAAAAAACCCTTGCCATTTCGAAATTCCATGGCAATTTTTCCATGGGTTCCCCAGAGATATATATCTCTAGGGTCCCCTGACTCAAAATAAAAATTCAATTTTAATTTTAGCACGGTTGGTCAATTGTTTTTGGAGATATGATTCTTTAAATTTTCATGATTAATAATCATTGATTATAACGATTTTGCCAATATATCATCGATCATAACTTTGGTTCCAATTGAGCGATTCCGACAAACGACCAATCCTTTTTCTTGTCTTGAAACAAGCTATTTGAAATAAATATTTTTGATGCTGTGGCACACTATGATTTTTTTGGCTATGGAAAAATTATTAATTTTTTCGGAATTTTTAATTTTAATAATTTTGTTTTTTTCTACTTTCGGGCATTTATGTAAATACAAATTTGTAATATCAAAAATGATTTTTGTTATTTAATCTTTTTATATTTAGCCCTTTTAACTATTAAAATCGTTAAAAAAATTATTATTAATAATTATTTTAAGATTGAAAATCAATATACCTACCTATATATTGGTAGGTATTGATCAATAAAAAATTCGATTTATAGGCACTACTCTATACTATTTTTCTTGCTTCACGGCCGAAAATACGGGAAAAAATTAAATGTGTATATCGAAACATATTGATGCCTGCCCCGAAATTTGCGGCACGAGCGATATTATAGAGGGCGCCCGTATAGCTTGACCATATATCGATATATTTGTATATTTTTTATTTTGTAGAAGGATCAAAAATTACATTTTCTTACTACCTCGGCCGAAAATACGTATAGCTTGACCAATGCATCAAACGTAAACTTTCTGCCGTGGAATCGGGGATGAAACAACGTATTTTCGGCCGAGGTATACTATAGTAAGAAAAATTATTAATTTTTCGATAGCCACGATCCCAGTAAGCATGCACACTTTCGGCATGGTGCACCAAACACTCGGCAAACAGTCGGCCTTCGCTCGGCATAGGCGGTTGACCGGCGGTTCGGCTTGCCCCCAGTCGTCCCGCTTATGGCCCGCGTTATGTTAGCCCGGTACCGTTTGGCCATGTTCTAACCCATCGTTTCTTAACCTAGGGTCGCGGGCCATATCGAGATGGGTCGCGGGACTTGCGGGACTTTTTGAAAAAGCGCGCCGTAATCACTGCATCCTTACTTTAAATAAAGAAAATGTACAAAATTGATGATTTTATTTTTTATCAGGTCGCGAGCAGTGATGTAACCGATACATTTTTTTCAGTATCTAGGTACCGATACAGATACTCTCTGGTAGATGTATCTGGGTACAGATACCGATACATTTTCCCAAAAGTATCTGGGTACAGATACAGATACATTCAAAAAGTATCTAAGTTACTTCCAGATACTATGTTAAAAAAACTTAAAAATTAAAAAAAAATTTTTGGACCTTATATATAAACAAGCGTGTTAACTATAAAATAAAACTGTTTTGATAAAATTGACGAAATATCCATGAAAAACGGAAATAAATTTTATATTTACGCGCCATATGAAAGCTTACTACAAAATTTGTAGTAAAAATTCAAAATAAAATGTATCTTGTATCTAAGGATCTAGATACTTTCAAAAGGATCTAGATACTAAAGTAGATCCTGATTTTTTTAAGTATCTCGATACGTATCTATATATAGATACGTATCGAGATACTTTTGAATTTGTACTATAGGTACATAAAATGTATCTAGATCCAGTATCTAGATACATTACATCACTGGTCGCGAGCTATAATATTTTTGAATTGTGGGTCGCCAGCCAAAAAGGTTAAGAACCGCTGTTCTAACCAAAGTCGACCAGAATACGGCATGCCGCTGCAAAATCGTTCGGCTTACCCTAGCCGGCCCGCTTACGGCCAGAATACGGCCTGCCGCCGCATAACCCTGCTTAAAATACCCCATAGAGACCCTGTTCAAACCGATAGATATTTGTATCGGGATGTATGGTGTTTCTATAGGGTGGATCGGTTTGTATAGGACCCGTAGTTGAGATTTATGGTTGTTCTATAGGGATATCCACCATTGATTTATTTGCTATCGGTTTCAATGGGGAAAATACACATAAATGTAGAAATTGGTTTTTTCCCTATAGGACCCTATAGGTTTTAATAAAATTTTGTCAAATGTTTTATGGTTGCTCTATAGGGATATCCCTATATATCCTTCATTGAGTTATTTTCTATCGGTCTCAATAGGGAAAATGTAAAAGTTATGGTGTGCCTATAGGTAATTTCCTATACATTTTCTATCGGGCTGTATCCGGAAAAACCCATGGACAAATGCACATATAGAATCCGGTAGCGCCCGATAGATTATTTTGTATAGGTCTCTATGGGGTATTTTAAGCAGAGCTGGGCCAAGTACAAGTAAAATGTACTTAAGTACCGAGTACAAAGTACTTTGTATAATTCCTGAAGAAGTACAAAGTACCAAGTACTATACAAATTTCAAAGTACTTTAAGTACAGTACTGTAAGTACAGTACTCAGTACTTTATAATTGTATTTTAAGAGTACATGTCAACAAGACAAGACTCGCTGGTACCAAGACTTGGTAATAGTGAAGCTTTGGAAATACCAAAGTTTTGAAACGTAAACGTAAGTTAAGTTATAATTATGTGAAATAAATCATCTTAGAAATATACAAATTCTATTGTTCTTTTATTTTAATCAAATTCGCTTGAACAAATTGAGGTTGTCATTGTCACTGACAATTTATCTGGATGCCAAGCTTCGAAATCAAAATTTTGCGTACTATAATGAACCTCATTAAAGCACACAAAACATTTAAATGGCGTGTTATAATGAAGTCATTATAAACGCAAAATAGATAAATATATAATATAACCACTCAACCCAGATAGCAAAATGCATGCAGTATAGGCAAGCGTGCGGATTGGTACATGCTCTGATCCAAACATTTTTTTTCTTTGACATTTATTATAGAATTTACTAATATAACTGATTTAGGGGTTTTAAATTTTTCTTTATTTATTATTGTCACCGATTTTGTTTAAACTTTACTTATTTGTTGTTCTTATAACGAAGAATCATAGCATAAAATTTTTTTGCTCTAGGATTGTTCATTCAAGAGTTATGGATTATTGAAATTTATCGATTTTTTTTTACTTTTTGGTGAAATCGCTTTTTATTTAAAAATTCATAACTTCTGTTCATCTCTTTATTAAATATTTCAATTTAACCACCTTAAATGATTTTTTCCGTACTTTTCAATAAGCTATACCGTTTTTGCAAAAAAAATAAAAATTGCAATTTTTTTGAAACAATGTGTATTTTTTAATTTTTTTTTAAAATAGCATAAAATCCAAGTTTATTATGTTACCTTTGAATAAAAAAAAATTGTAAAAATTTAGAGTGGGCCCGACATGTAGAAGACATGAATGCCGCACGGTCTAGCCATCGAATAGCTACTACACTGCGTTTGCGTTTATACCCAGTAGATGCGAGTAAACGAATACAAAATGATAATTTAAAATGTAAAATTATGTTTGAGTAGTCAATGATGTATTTTAAATATTTATACTGCCGCACGATATAGTTTTTTTTATTGTGTATTAGTCCTTCGGAGGGGACTTTAAGCCCGCGGTCCGTTCCTACCCCTAACCCGCACAAGCCATTAATTTGGCTTATGGGACTTCTTAAGAAGTAAGGGTGGAACTAAAAGAGCACTTTTGTATATAAACTGTATTTTTTTGCTCAAATTGTTTAAGCATGGGTCTACATAGATTTCGCAAGGAGGGTCGATGATATTAAATAAAAAATGTATTGTAAAGGCGCCATTCAGCTTATAGGCAAGCCGTTACGGTTATAACAATACATTTTTTATTTAATATCATCGATCCTCCTTGCGAAATCTATGTAGACCCATGCTTAAACAATTTGTGCAAAAAAATACAGTTAAAAAACTATATCGTGCGGCAGTGTAAATATTTAAAATACATCATTGACTACTCAAACATAATTTTACATTTTAAATTATCATTTTATATTCGTTTACTGGCATCTACTGGGTATAAACGCATACGGCAGTGTAGTAGCTATTCGATGGCTAGACCGTGCGGCATTAGCTGGCCATACACAGGCGTTATTTCGCGCGGTTTATCGTGGCGTGTTGGGATGTAGCGGTTAGTATGCACGAAAGAACGGCATGGCAAAAAAAGCGTCATGTTCCATACACTTGATAAAGTATTCAAATGATTTAGCAAGTGATTGCTCGTGGTATATCAGTTTCAAAGGAAAAATCGTATGTGAGTGGGCAAAAAGTGTCATTTATCAAGTTGTTTGAAACAGCATGTGCTGATGTACAAATTTTCAACGTAAAATTTTGTCAAGCAAAGGTAAACCGTGACGCGGAATGTGGCGTGTGGACACTCCACACTCCAGAGGAAAGCACGTCTGAAATCCCTTCCCGTTCTATCATTGCGCGCGGCGATACTCACTCACGTACATGATTTTCCATATGTTTTTGCAGATAACACGATAAACCGCGCGCAATAACGTCTGTGTATGGCCAGCTATTCAAATATGAAAAACTCCCCTTCTACATGTCGGGCCCACTCTAATTTTTTTTTTATTCAAAGGAAACATAGTAAACTTGGATTTTATGCTATTTTAAAAAAAAATTAAAAAATACACATTGTTTCAAAAAATGCAAAATTTTGCAAAATTTCAAAAAAAAATTGCAATTTTTATTTTTTTGCAAAAGCGGTATATATGAGGCGCCGTTTGTGCCATAATTATGTTGCTAATATATATTTATTTTTGTTTGATTATATATATTTTTTAAATTTATTTTTAAATTTACTTAATATATTTATTATTTTACTTAAAATATATTTATTTTGTAAGAACAATATATTTATTTTTGTGTGTTAATATTAATTATATTATAATAATATTATTAATAATATTATGTTTTTTTGACATCTGCTAATATATATTTGTTTTTTTGACAGACAATTCAATGTGGCAACGTGGCATTGTCATTTAACCCGTTGTTCATAGATGTCGTTGTTCTTTTAAGTTTACAGTCATTTAACCCGTTGTTCATAGATGTCGTAGTTTTTTTAGTAGTTTACTGGTGTTTTACCGGCAATAATTTTTGAGGTTAGATTCTATCAGCGATTGTTTTTATTTATAAACGAAAGAAATAGTGAAGACGGTAAATTTTAAGCGGTTATTTAAAACAGGTAAATACCTAATAAATTTTTTTTTATTAATTTTATAGAATATTTTTTGTAAAAGCGAAATTTTAGTAATAATGGAAAGAAGTATTGAAAATATTGTGTCGCAAATTTTGCAAAGTCCAGAGTTGCGTAGCACACTTGAAAACACAGTAAGAAATATACAAAATCCCAGACCATCAACCACATCCTTATTAAACGTTTCTCCATCACCAAGAACATTTAATTCACCAGCAGAGATTTTGCACCCATCATTGTCTGTTTCCCAGGAATTACATAGAGCTTTCCCTAGTATTAGACCCTCAACAAATAGTACTCCAGGAAGTTCTAGAAGGGGTAGTAAACGAAAGAGGAATCCAGAAGTTTATTTCTGTAAAGATGTAATTTTAGTCAAGTGTCCAAATGAAGATAAAACCTTAAGAGGGATAAGCAAATCTTATGCATTTGAAAAAGGTAAGAGATGATCTTACATACCTATATCGAGGGGTCAACCACCCAAAGGGAAAACGTCCAGGGATTCCCATGTATTCCCATTATATTTTATTGTATTCCTATGTATTCCTATGGTATTCCCCTCTAAAATGTCCAGGGATTCCCAGGTGTGGGTGACCCCTCGACCTATATTAATATAGATAACTACAAAGGACCATTTTTTAAAGATCTTATAATCAGTGCTGTTTTAACTTTAAGAAAATATTAATATAAAAGTGTGAAAAAAATTGTTTTTTTGACACCCTGTATTTTGGAAACGGTACGTCAGAGAAACTTTTTGTATTTGAAAAAAAATCTTGTATTTATGCCAACTTAGTTGGCCCAACTATCACCCCACGAGAGATTGACATAGTTAGCATTTAAACCCTGTATAGTATACTTATACAGGGTGTTTCTTAATATGATGTACAAACAAAAGGGGGGGATTCTTTGGATTATTTTAAATCTAAAAGTTCATATGAACATAGGTCCGCAAACGCTTCGTTACCGATCTACAGGGTGTTAAAGTTTTAAGATTTTTTTGGTTTTTATTTTATAACTTTTGCATTTTTTAAGTTAGTAATTGTAAATTTGAGATATAGGTTACGCTGTAGGGCTTTCATCATTGGGCATGCCAAATAGTGATAAAAATCTACAGGGCAATATTTTTCCCACCCAGAATTTTTTTGCGGTGCACCGCTGGTAGATTCTAAAATACAAAATAAAGTTTATGATTTGTTTAAAAACTTTTTGGTATCCTAAAGTTTTTTCGTATCTGCTACCGTTATCGAGAAAAAAAATAAATAACAATTTTGTGTTATTCGCTGGATGAAATTAGGTTTTTTTAAAAGGTGTGGTTGGCTTTTAAATATAACTTGGTTAATTCATTTCTACAATTTATTCTTTACCACGGTCCTTGAAATATTAACATTTTCTCCTGAAACACCCCGTATAAAAAAACTTTTTGGCTTATTTAAACTTTTATAAAAAATAATTTTATTTAAACAACAAAATTCTGAAAAAAGATTTAACGTTGTCTAAACGTGGGAAAACGTTATTTTCTACATTAAACGTTAGGTTCTAACATAAAAATCTACATTCAAAAACGTCGGAAAGTGGAAAAACGTTATTTTCTATTAGAGAGTACATTATGTTATAGGGTATGCTGTGTCAAATGTAGAATTTAATATTAATTGGACGTTTGAAGAAACGCTTGCCTTCATTAAAATGCTATTTAACAAACATTTAGCTGAAGTGGACTGCGAGATTATGGTTCCCATGGGTGGTAGGCTGGTTAGACCAAGTCTGCCACCTGGTAAGGAATTGGATGGTAGGTCCCTGAAATCAATTTTTTATCAAAAAACAGTTTATATAAGGCCTTCAATAGCACTTTCTGGTAGTGATATTGAAGATGAAGAAGGTAAAACAACGACTTGGAACGAAAACATAGAAATGGACTTACCTGAACCATCCAATTCTGAACAGGACGTGATGAATGATAATATAACTGACGTAAGTCCCACATATTGCTATTCTAAATAACGTATATTTTACTGGTTTTTAGGATTATGATAATTTGTTCAAAACCGATTTAGAATTAGCAATAAAAAACAGCCTTAATGAGGTAAATGATAAACAGGAGAAAACATTGAAAGACATTATTCAAGATTTGAAGGATAAGATTAATGATGACCGAATAACTCAAATTAATGTTTATAGAGAAGATATATTTAATTGCTGCCTAAGAGCAATTAATAGAAAATCATTTAATCCATTTAATAAAATTTCTTGTAAATTTAGCGACATCGAAGGTCGTTCTGAAGAGGCGGTTGATTTAGGAGGCCCCTCACGAGAGGTATTTCGCCTAGTAATTGAATATCTACAAAACAGTAGGCTTTTTTTTGGTGATAAAAAAAAATCAATTCAGTTGGATCAAGAATCAATGGAAAAAGGTCATTATTTAGGCGCAGGTCGTTTAATATCATTATCCCTTATTCATGGAGGGCCTGTACCCCATTTTTTTACGGAAAGTCTTTTTTCTCTTTTAACTTCGGGACCTGCAGACAATGTTCCTAATGTAGACGATTTGGAGGAGGATATAAAAAAAAAAGTTTTGAAATTAAATGAAATAGAAGATATTAACGTGCTCCAAGATTATGTGACAGAAGAACCTATATTTGCGATAGCAGGTTGTCATTTTATAAAAAGTATGGAAGAGAAGCAAACGGTATTTAGAGGTAATGGTAATTTTCAAACAATGGAATATTTTTTTTATACATTATTTTTTAGACATTGTACAATTTTACGGTTTTCACCGAGTTCGACCTGCGTTGAAGCAACTAAAAAATGGGCTAGAAACAGGAAATGTGCTGAATTTGATGAAAAAGTATCCAGAGGTTTTTAAAAAAGTTATGTGTGGAGACAAAATTGAACTCACTGCCGATTTCATGCAGAATTTGTTTTCGGTAGAGTTTTCGGAAATTGGGAGTTCAAAACGATTGATCGAAAACAGAATTATATCATTTTGGCGTGACTTCATCTTAGACTGCAGTGGTATGTATAGCAAGTTTTATTTTTCTATTGTTTATATCTAGTTTTATGTAGAGGAGAATAGCGAAGTCGACTTGCAAAAAATTTTAATATTTTGCACTGGTGCCGATGAACTGCCACCACTAGGGTTCCATGAGGTACCAAAAATAATGTTCCTTCATGATGAAAACGTCTACCCAAGATCCAACACATGTGCGTTACAGTTGCATCTTCCAACTGTTCAGAAAACGTACGCGGATTTTAGCAAAGATGTCAAGTTTGGTATTGGCAATGCAGACCAATTTGGTTTTGCTTAATATTTTAATACTTAAGTACATTTTTTATTTTTAAATTATCACAGCTCAAAAAACCTAACTTAATTTTTGGACGTAGATTACGAATCCGAGCTTAGTTTAGCTAGCTGAATCAGGTCAAAAACTAAAGATATAAATACAGGATCGAGTTGTAAATAGGAACAAATTAATTATTCTTTGTTAAAAAAATTAAATTCCAATAAAAAAATTGCATTAAATGTACAGGGCGCTTAGAAATTAAGAATGCATGGAAATGCTTCAACAGTGTTTTACGAAAAAATTCATTTTTCATAAAAAGTCCACATACGAAATAATATATTTTATTTTATTATTTATTATATTTTAATATAAAAATAATAATGTTAAAATAGAAATTTTTATTACGAATTTTGACTTTAAATATTTAAAAATTTTCTATAAAATAAAGGATTTTTAAGTCTACATAATTTCTGAGTACTCTGAGCATTTAATTCCATTTTTTATGTAAATCTAATTTTTTAAATAATCAGGAGTTTTAATGAATTTTTTTTCGCAAAATGCAGGGTACTTCTCTGTTGACGCATTTTCTTGTTATAATATCTGGGCACCCTGTATATTTGATTCAATAATTTTAGGGCAATTCATTTTTTAAACAAGCAAGGGTTTTGATGCAGTTTTCAATCTGGGGACACACCGTATAGGTATATTTTATTTTTGACCTGATACAGGGTATATCATACAGTTAAACTGAGCACGGATTTGTTATCTACAACCAAAAATTAAGTTTAGGTACCCATCCACTAAGAAATTTTAACGTTAATTTCACAATAAAAAAAATTACCCTTTAATTTATTTTTATTACTTTAATCGCAAAATTTTATTAAATAGGATTAAAAATTATTTCACGGGCAATGTTAATCATGACATTTACGTTAAAATTTCTTAGTGGGCGAGTGTTCAGCTGTGATATTTGCACCCCCTCCTGTGTTATTTAGTGGAGTAAGAATTTTTTATTATTTTTGTTTTCAGTTTTTATAAATTATTTTATTTAAATTTTTTATGTAAATGTATAAGAGTTTCTATTTTTCTGTTATAAAGAACAACTTATTTATAAAAATAACTTTTATTTCTATTATTCTACCCATTACCAGTAACAAAACAAAATATTCTAATTAAGTTCATTATTAACAAAAGACTTGATTAAATTGCGTACGCATGTGTATAAATTTATGCCGGAGGCACCATCGTCTATAAGTGGATTAGGCACATGGTTTCTGATCATAGCTAACTGATCATCTGTAAGAGTTATGTCAAAATCGGGAACGACAACATTGTTATCTGTTTCAATTGCTGGGAGTGGACCCAGACAATCGAGTCCATATTCTTGTGGGTTTTCTAAATAGATAGGATCTTCATCTCTTACGCAGCTTCCCGCGATAGTAGCTGCATAAAAGATTTGCACTGGTGATCTGTTTCCTATAAGATAGTAATTAAATTATTAAAACAATTCTATGTAGAGTGAACGGCAATGATGTACTTTTCATATAAAATTTAATAGCTATTTAAAACTAAAAAAGGAAACTTACTTTCTGTACTTAAACCATGATGATTCCACTGTCTTATAAATTCATTTAAGGTACGTAGTATCCGGGGCAGGAACACATAGGACAAACTGAATAGGTCAATTTCGTTATGTTCATCCAAAATTTGTACTTCTTCCATGTACAGAAATAGCTGCTTAAATTGTTTTGAAACCACACGGTTCACCTCTGACCACAATCTTTCAATTCGCTGATTGTGTACAGAGCGCCCAACGATAAAGCTACCTCTGTTACATCCTCGCTCTGTTATCATATATCTGGCTACCCCAATGTTCTCAGTTCCTCGATCGCCCCTCACACGACTTGGTAAACCAAATTGAGAAACACCCTTGCGAAAACAATCCATAACACTTAAAGCTTTGTTGTCATTTAAACAATGTAAATAAATTATCATTCTACTGAAACCATCAATGCAGCCATGAAATACCATTCTGAAGTTAACCAATTTGTGATTGGAGTCAATATGCCTAAATAATGGTATATTAAGTATTAAGGTCAATAGTTTACTGGTTGGATGTTTTTGGGGATTAAGAAAGTAGAGATCACCAAAACATACAAAACCAGTAAAATATACTGATCACATTGCTTATACTATTTTTTGTTGGGACATTTATTAATTGTAATTTATAAATAAAAAATCATCAAAATTGATCAACCTGTTTTTAAATTGCTACAAAAAAAAAGGTTTTTTTTAAACAAGCAATGCAATTTTGTATCAAGGTAGGAATATGTTTGTAAAGACTTTTTACAGACACCCTGCATATACACCTGGGGTCTTTTTTATGTTTAAACTTTCAAATATCTCGTAATAAGGACTATGAAAAATAAACATAATCAAATTTCAATCATACATTAGTGCTAAATTATTCCCTCCTCCCTTGTAGGCCTGGTTAGCTTTGAAATCGTAAATGTCGACCCCTATTTCTGTCAGATTCTGATTTGCTAAAAATAGGTATACTACGATTTGCCTGAAAAAAAAAAGATTCATAATAGATGGCGCTGCAATCGACAAAAAAAACGATTTATCCTACTAAAAACCTTTAAATACGATTCTGCAATACTTTGCAAAAATACCATATTTTTATTGTAAAATTTAAATATTTTTTTATTAATAAATTAGTCCTAAAACAAATTTCATTTTCCTAAATTTTCATTTACTGAAAAGAGTCTTTCTAAAAAACTACTCATATCGTAACCTTGTAACAGACGTCTTTTTTGGGGGTACATTCCTGTTGAAAAGTTCCTATAGAATCCAATAAAATGCGACAAAAGCCTTATAGGAACCGGTTTTTGTCGCATTTTATTGGATTCTATAGGAATTTTTCAAAAGGGATGGTCAATGCGATTTTCTTTTCTTATTTATCGGAATGTTTCCAGTTGTTCCAAATGTAAATGAACATTTGAGAAATAGAATTTGTTTTAAGACTAAATCTGTACCTGAGAGCCAAAGAGTATTAAGTTCGTTTTTTTAACAATTTTGTAATTTTAATAATATGGTCTCCAAATAATAAAATTTAAGGTTCTTTGTTGAAAAAAAAAATGTGTATGTCAGCTCTGACGCACGACTGGAGTTTACTCCTTAAGCCCTTTCATTTGATACCCATATTGTAGGAGTGCTTTAAAAATAATTAGTCCGCCATATTGGATTTAGAGTAACGTCACTTTATTTTTCAAGGAAACTCCAATAATATAAAATTGTTTAAACAAATTAAAAATTTGTTTGTCGCTCTTATGGCCACCACTGTATATGTACTTATGGCCACCACTGCAGTTTTCTGTATTAGCAGCAGTGACGCATAAAAGATATACCTACATGTAGGTATATCTTTTATGCGTCACTGCTGCTAATACAGAAAACTATGTGTGCGGCCATATTGGATTTAGAATGACGTCACTTCCGTTACGCATCCCATTTATAAATGGGATGCGTAACGGAAGTGACGTCATTCTAGTTAACGCTCGATTTTACTCCTCATAAAATTTCATACCGCGGGCTTAATATGAAAATCGTTTCTTAAGGAGTAAACTCCAAAAAATCTCCAAAACTCCATTGACTTTTGTCCTTTGGCCAATAAGGACTCTATATTATTTGAATACATTAAAATCACAAAATCTCTTTAAAAGTGAACTTGGGTTCTCAGGTATAGAAATATTAATTACAATAAAAATTTGGTTGGTTTTTGCCTTAGACCACCTAAGGTTTTTGCAAACGTATTGCAGAATCGTATGCATAAATAAATAAATGATATTCGTTCGCCTTATATTATAAATCTATTTTTTTTTTAATAAATCATAAGTATTATTCGAAGGGGAGGGGGGCTTATTTTAGTACTAATGTATAATATATAATATATATAATGTATAGTATATATATATATATATATATGTATGTTTATTGTGTCCCAAGTAAAGTTTCCAGAATCTGTCAAAAAACGAGACAATTTGTGCGGATTGATTTACCTTAATTACAAAAATTTAACTATCAACAATAATAAGAAATGACAAATTGACAATTTGCATTGTATCTTTGTAAAGACTTAGTCCAAGACTTTGTCTGTGTTATTTTTGTAATTAAAGTAAATTTCTAAAAAATGTCCGGGTTTTTTGACAGAATCTGGCAACCCTAATCTCAGGGGCTGAGGCATTTTCTAAATGTGTAATACATAATTGAAGCGTGGTAATTTAAAAGCGTCCAAGTGCCGCTGCCCTGCAAAGCACAAATGTATTGAACAATATTAAGTAATGCATTAGTTACCACCTTTTTGCTTAGCACTGCAGTGGCACTTAAACGCTTTTTAATTACCATGCTTCAATTTTTTTTCACCTAGCATATAAAATTAACATACCAGAGCTAAAGATATGAACAAAAATATTTTTCCTAGGGCTGCTAAATATTATCAATATATTATTTTGGGTCAGATGTTTCATTTTCATGTGCTAGGCGAGAAAACATAACAGGCTCTTAAAAAAATTAAGCCTTACCATAGATAATTAACTCCTTTAACTCTGTATTTTCTTCTGACAATTGTGTTGTGTCTTCTAAGGGCTCTACCTACAGGATCTAGTAGTTGTAAGCGCTCCCTCACTCTCCACCTCGGAACGTTTATACTGTACGATCGCAAACTCCCTCTAACATACACTTCTCCAGAATTGGGAGTATTGTTCATAATACTCTGAATTGCCAAATCAAGTTCTTCATCCGAAATTAAACGCATATCATTTATGTCATATTTGTTTTTTAATCTATAAATTGTTCTACGCGAAACCTTTAGTATTGCGCTAATAATGGTCCAATTTAAACCAATATTTCGTAACTCTAATATCTGCTCCTCTGAAATACTTATTGAAGGTCTGCCGGGTAGACCACTATAATTGAAAGATGGAAAAAAACCTGATGAAAATGAATTGTCCACATAACCTAAAACAATTTTAACACAAGGGTAATAAATACTTCCATCATATTGTTACAAACCATTAAGTTTCAAATTCAAATCATTGAAACATTCCCACAGCATTTGATAAATTTCTGTTAACAAATTATGTACATGTTCTTCACATACAGCAGCTAAAATTACTATCAAAATTTCAAGCGCGTTTTCCATTTTATTTACACTTTCTTCAATTAAACGAATGTCCTCAGAATGCATCCGTTCTTTACCTAAATTATAATCCAAAACAGTTGTCGTAAAAAACGTTTCCAAATCCATTACTAAAAGTAGGTAATTATTTAACTCAAGGGTCTTTAAGTAAAATTTTATTATTTAACTACCTGTTTTGAGTAGCCACCGAAAATTCACCGAGTTTTTCTTTCGTTTTTAAATAAAAACAATCGCTGATAGAATCTAACCTCAAAAATTCAAAAAATATTGCCGGTAAAACACCAGTAAACTAGTAAAAAAACTACGACATCTATGAACAACGGGTTAAATGACTGTAAACTTAAAAGAACAACGACATCTATGAACAACGGGTTAAATGACAATGCCACGTTGCCACATTGAATTGTCTGTCAAAAAAACAAATATATATTAGCAGATGTCAAAAAAACATAATATTATTAATAATATTATTATAATAATATTAATATTAACACACGAAAATAAATATATTGTTCTTAAAAAATAAATATGTTTTGAGTAAAATAATAAATATATTTAGTAAATTTAAAAATAAATTTAAAAAATATATATAATTAAACAAAAATAAATATATATTAGCAACATAATTATGGCACAAACGGCGCCTCATAGGTATAGCCCATTGAAAAGTACGGAAAAAATCATTTAAGGTGGTTAAATTGAAATATTTAATAAAGAGATGAACAGAAGTTATGAATTTTTAAATAAAAAGCGATTTCACCAAAAAGTATACTTTTTTATAAAAAATCGATAAATTTCAATAATCCATAACTCTTGAATGAACAATCCTAGAGCAAAAAAAATTTATGCTATGATTCTTCGTTATAAGAACAACAAATAAGTAAAGTTTAAACAAAATCGGTGACAAAAATTTTTTCACCTGGTACACTTGGTAAATTTTGCCCCATATTAATTAAATAAACAAATTTTGTTTGTTTATTTTTTCTTCCGATGTAGAGCTAAACCTTTAGCAGCTCATTTTATTTATTACTTTAGTATACTGACAGTCTGTAAATGACAGAATTTATTTAAATGACAGATGCCATGATGTTTTCGCGGAAATTATGCATGTAGCATTATTTTCACTATAATAATGTTTTGATTAGCTAAAATATACACACATGACTGAAACTAAAAGTTTCTATTGGTTTTTAGAAACGTCAAAAAATAATCTAAACTAAACAATGTTCAAATAATATGCTCGAAAATTATTGTCGTCAACATGCAAAATCAAAATGAAATGCTCATTTTCCGCTCTCAACTCTCGGCGACAGCAAATTATAATAGGCCTTTGTCGGTGTACCTATATATATATATATATATATATATATATAGGTAGGTATATATATATATATTTATTTATAAATTTTATTAAGTATTTTGATTGACCATACGAGCATACTCATAAACAACACGTATTGTGGGCCACAATTTGTGGCGCGGAAAACCTTTTACGTACTTAGCTGGAGGCGCAGACAGGTCTCAACTTGAATAAAGTACTTGTAAAAATGTACTTATATTTTAGTCCCAAGTACTGAGTACTCTTAGCAGAATGTTACAAGTACACCCTAGTAGAAATTTTACGTAGAAACAACGTTTTTCCCACGTTGGCAAAACCTAACTTTTATGTATAATTTTATGTTGAAATGTCCCGGTTTATAACGTTATCTGACAACGTTAGTTTTTAATGTTATAAAAAACGTGGGATTTACGTATTATAAAACGTTGCAAATACGTGGGTTTTGTGTATTATACAACGTTGCTTTTATGTATTATAAAACGTTGCAAATACGTGGGATTTGTGTATTATACAACGTGGGAAATATGTGGGTTTTGTGTATTATAAAACGTTGGAAATACGTGGGATTGTTGTATCATAAAACGTTGGATTTTTTTATAAATTTGGGTAGGATTTTTCTTTATTATTGGAAAATTTAATATATATTTAAAAACAACAAAAATTTATTGTACAAAAAAAATACTTTGGAAAAAAAATTCCCAATTAACAAAATCTAAAAAATATTATCTAATAATATTATACTTAAAGTAAACAAATTAAATTATAACAAAATAGCTTTAACAAAAAATTTACAATGGTATTTTAAAAAGAAAAAATATTGCCTATACGAGCCCTAACCACATAATGTTCGGACACTTCATAATTTATACAGAAATTTTTTTCGTGAATACTATCTCAAAATTATTAGAAGTTATGAAAAATTCAGCTTATTTTGGCATATACCCCTCGAAGCGATTTTTATTTTTAAAAAGTTTACCTTTTATTTTTAGCTTTTAAAAAAAGGCTAACTTTTTAACTTTTTTTTGTATGAGTAAAAAAAGTTATAAATGGACCCATTAAAAAGAGCATAAAATATTATACAAACCCTGAAAATTTGGTAAAAAATAAATAAGTTATAAAAAAGTATAAGTAATTTAAAAATGCTATTTTTAAAGAGTTTTTGCAATTTTCTTAGGAAACGGGAGATTTTGCAGATATATATATCGCTATAACTTTCTTATTATTTATACAATTTTTACCAAATTTTCAGGGTTTGTATAATATTTTATGTTCTTTTTAATGGGCCCATTTATAACTTTTTTTACTCATGCAAAAAAAAGTTAAAAAGTTAGCCTTTTTTTAAAAGCTAAAAATAAAAGGTAAACTTTTTAAAAATAAAAATCGCTTCGAGGGGTATATGCCAAAATAAGCTGAATTTTTCATAACTTCTAATAATTTTGAGATAGTATTCACGAAAAAAATTTCTGTATAAATTATGAAGTGTCCGAACATTATGTGGTTAGGGCTCGTATATATAACAATTTTCTATACAAGATACTACAACTTTTAAATCAATATTAAAATTAATTAAAAATACCCAATTAACAAAATCTAAAAAATATTATTAATATAATATTATATACTTAAAGTAAACAAATAAAAATATAACAAAATATCTTATACAAAAAATTTTCAATGGTATTTTGAAAAGAAAAACTATTGCCTATATTCATATAGGTATTAACAATTTTCTAGATACAAGATACTACAACTTTTAAATCAATATTAATAAAAATCTAAAAAATCCTATTTAAATATTAACTATAAAAATTCAAATATAAGTAACATAACTTAAAACATGGCCTAAAAAAAATAACAATGCTCTTCATTGTTATTTTTAAGGTATTTTAAAAAGAAGAAATATTGCCTATTAACAATTATTATAAATTTTCTAAATAAAGGATTAAACAAATTATAAATTAGCAACAAAAATAAAAAGTCAAAGAAATTTAAGTAGTTAGTTAAAATATAAGTCTAAATAAAACAATTAACAATGAAGGTGAGTTTAAAGTCACAAATTTTTAATTTTCATTAAGGGTTTTGATGCTTGGCAAAATAAATTTTAGCAATTACGAATATATAAGAAAAAATGTGAGGATTTTTGCTTTTGAATAAAAATTTAGAGCACAAGCATTAAAAGGAAAAAATACAAGCAAAAATAGTATTTTTGCCTATATTTTTTTATACACTTGAAAGTTTTAAAATTGATTTTGTATAGTATACAAATTTATTTATTAAATGCAAAAGATTGTGACCTAAAATTGATTTACATATGGATATAATTTATTAATATAAAAATTATTAAGAACCTTTGATTGTTAAAAAAAATCTAATAGATTTGGCTGGTAACCAACACACAATGGTAAATGATCTCCTCCAGTGTCAGCAAACATTAGAAAAGTTGAAAAATAGTTTAATATTCTGAGTTTCCTTTTTTCACAACATTTTGTTGTTTCCCTGGGTAACCAGGTGCTGGCAAAGCATCCCTTATTTCCTTTACTTCTGAAAAAATATTGGTTTATCACATCATCATGAACTTCTGATCTGGATCTTTTTAGATTTTTAGCATTCCTTTGAGTAATCACAATTTTTGCCTCCGGAAAGAATTTAGCCAGTCATTGCCAGGAAGGTTTTCTTTAAAACAACTAATTATCACTGCTTTGTGGTTTAGATATGACTGCACTCTTTTGTATCTTGTCTTGCAAAAGATTATCCATTATCCGCAGATCATCTGTGGCAGATGTAATCATTACACTTGCAATCTACCCAAAGGATAGACGATTGTTTATCACCTCTGCCACGGCCAATTCAATATTTTCTGGGTGATAATTTCTTTGATACACTGTTCCAGGAATATGTTTATGCTTTTAAGGCATCGTCACAGAACAAAACTTATTTTACATAAGGCATCATTCCAAATAACCCTAAAAATCCATGCAAAAAGCAACTGTTTAAAAAAAACACTAACAAATTGTTTGTGGTGATTGTTTAGGTTACTAAAAGTTATTTGCCATCCCTATCAGATAAAAATTACCTTATCTTTTAATTATTTTTCCAAAAAACACGGAAGAATTTGCACAAAATTTCGCACGATGTCAACACTTAACCTAAAATAAAGAAATAAACACTTCGTGATAGAGCGGTAAATTTGAATTTTTCTTCGTTTGTTCCGTGTAACCCATAGAAATAATACCACAGAATTTTGTGATAATACTATGGTGTAACCTCTGTTGTTCCATCACCTAAATACGATAGTAAACCTTTATTGAAACTATAATAATTTTAGGTATCTAAAAGTAGGTTTTGTGTATTTCGGCCTTATTTTTAAAACTATGACTTTAAAAATTGTATTGCATAGTTAAATTTGATTTTACTTTTATAACTAATGTTACAAAGACTAAAAATTTTAAAAAAATCCACATTAAAAATTTTCTCGACGGGACTTAAAATAATTTTATGTTGCTAAATGTGTGTTTTGGAACGTTGCTGCAACGTTTCTAGCATACAATTTTACAACGTAGTTTGAAAGTGGGTTTTGTGTATTTCGGTCATATTTTTGATAATATGACTTTAAAAATGTGTTGAAGGGTTTTATTTTACTTTTATAAGTAATATATAATAAAAAAAAATTGAAAAAAAAATCCTCAGTAAAAAAATTTTCGTCGGGACTTTGAAAAAATTTTATGTAGCCAAACGTGGGTTTTGGAACGTTGTTGCAACGTTTCCAGCA